AAGCTCCTCCAAAGTCTGCTTTTTTCTCTTGAACAATATGTTGTTTGCACATGCAGCTACCTCACTATTTACTCTTGATAACAAAGGGTTATCTGTTTTGGGGAATGAGTTCTATTATCCTTGTAAGTATGCTGCAATGTAGTTCTGCAGCACCTTTGGTCTCACCATTGGCTGCAAGACATTTGTACTTCGTAACATGCAGAACAAACCCCCCACCTTTCCCCTGCCCAGCCTTCCCCCCTTTTTTCTTTGCCTAATATCCTCTTAAAGAAGACTTCTATTGACTTGTTTGGGGACTCTTTGCTGGTCTTAATAAATGCGTAATTCTACCGGTTCAGGTGAAAACATACTGATAACATTTAGCGCAATAAAATTGCCTTTTTTGAACTGGACTGAGCTTTTTTTATTTTTGATGTTGTGTGCACTGCCCTGGGGTACTGAAGATAATAAATATCAGGAACAGTGATGCTGGTGACTGTCATTGGTGTGGGGAGAAAAGTGTTGTGAAATTCTGTTAGAAAAAGATATTAGAGAGAAGGGAGAAGAATGTAATCCTACATGTGTTTTCTTTGAAGTAAGTTCCACCTGACTGGGTTGTATGTGAATTGTGGTCCAACACATGGCCATTTGGGGTGTATTGCAGCCTAAATCCCTTCTCTTGCCATGTTAGGGTAAACATGATAGGGTAAACATTAGGGTAAACTCTTAATGACCGGGATTTCAGTTTAGGTCAGAACAATCCTATGGAAGGGTTTTTATTAAAAATATACACCCTCTCCCCTTGTATGATGGTCTCCATCTAATCACCTCCCCCAACTCTGAAAAGAAATTAGGAGTATCATGCTATGCATGATTAGACAGGAACGTGTCCTACAATTGTAGCACTTCTGCCATCAAAAATGTGTAGCATGGGGCCTTCGGCATGTCAAACCAGGAGAGCCTCTGCCTTGCAGATTCTGTCTTTTCCAGCTTTGCGAATGGAAGGTGATGTTTTTTGGCGATTGACCATGCTGAGAATGTTGGCATGTTTAAAATAAGCTCAACATGTAAGCAAGGACAAGCCACAAAGGAATCTAATCTGCCTAGATTAGAATTTAAGTGGATGCCAGGATGCGTGCTTGTGTGCTTTGGGGACTCACCGCATATGCTGCAAGGAACTCTTGCATGGGGTGTGAGCAGGTACTGATCATGGTCAGCGGGAACTGTGGCACTTCTTTTAGTTTTGCGTGGGCTTATTTATGCGTGAAGGACATGAACGAAATGAGGTGTGGGTGATCAGGCCCCTTCAGGAGCTATGAAAGGGGTGCTGATGCTTGAAAGATTTTTCTGCAAGGGAATGGGAACGACTGTTTGCTCTATCAGGACAGTGTGAAAAGCAAACTATTGAAAATGTCAGAGGTGTAGATTTTGACTGTTCCCTAGGAACAGGAAGGGAGGAAAGGAAGTATCTCAGACCATTTATTGTGAATTAGAATGCATTATACAATATATAAAATGCAATAAAAATATACCCAAGAAATGTTACATTATCTCCTTTGGAATATTTGCCAGGTTAAACACAGTTAAGTGAAATAGGTTTGTTTGAATGAGGTGCAATTAATTAAACCCCTAAACAAAAACCTTCAGCCAAATATAATGCAAACATAGACCCACTGCAGTCAGAAAAACATACAGTCTGTCAAAGCCATTCATCAATAGAACAAGCTCCATTTTAAGAGGAGGTTTTTCCATTTCCCCACAATTCCCCCCCCCCTTTTTTCCCTCTGGAAAGGGAAAGAAAAACTCCATTGGAAAACTCCTCCAAAAATAGGGGAAACATTCCTTAGGATTTAACATTAATATGCAATGATGACTAATCATAGAAGTCATGGCAGTAATGAAATCAAGAGCAGCAAAAGTTCCAACCAAGAAAATCAGTGGTTTGTGACCAACAACTTTTTCTTATTTAAGCTCATTTCTTAGTTAAGCTTTCATAGCCTATTTTGTTAAATGTCTTATGCTGGGCACAATCAAACCTCCAGAATGTTGTGACTGTACGACTGAGAAGAAGCACCATTCATTCTGTGCCTTGATCACACGGTCATCTCACATCAGATGGTATTTCAGGATTTGGGTAGAGCTTCAAAACCCTGCCAAAACAGTTTAGCTTGGACAGATGTGCACAAACAGCATCAAGCATGGACAAAATTGTGACAGAAGCATTTGAAAGTGCTTTCCACTCAGAAATTATAGCTGATTAACATCCCCCAATTTGGCCAAAATTGAAACATGGGAGGGCCCTTCAGTTTGCATTTCAAAATGGAGACTATGTGCTAATCTGTATGTAGATCTAACTTCTTTTAAAGCTTTTCTTCAGTTTTGTAACATCCCAGTGACTAGTAATTAATTGTAAAGGTCCAGGAACATGCATATTACTGTGTGTGTTATTGACAATCCTATTATGTAGACACCTTAAACTTAACATGCATAGAAGGGGCGGGGTTCATAGTGGTGTGCTCCTGAGGGTCATTTGGTGTTTAAAATGCATTAATTGATTCTAATCCAATTCAATGCATTGATGTGCTTGAATCCTGCAGCTATCTCTTCGTTAACAGAGGGCAAATCTCCCTAATTAACACATAGTTCTGCAGTTGATACAGCATGAAACCAGGGAGAACTTCAGAAGTGGACACTCCAGATTCTGATTTCTGCCCACAGCACCTGCCTTACGAGATCATAAAAATGGCCTTGGAGGACCTTGAAGCAGTCTGAAAAGGGGCATTCTCGGATGAGGGAGGGGAGGAGAGACCAGGATATGAGAAATCTTATGGCTTCTCCAGCCTGAGCCCACTGCATGCCTTCATGGTCTCTCAGCAGCTTTAATACCATCAACCAAGGAAGTCTTCCAGGGTGACAGTCTGAGTAGGGATTGGGTGGTAAGCACTTCTGTGGTTCTGTTCCTCCTTAGGTGGCCTGTGCCAGAGGGTGGTGCTTGGGGAATACTGTATTCTCCAATATGGGTTTCTCTGAGTGCTGGTCTGATCCCCCATGCTAGCTTCATGAAACCACTGAGTGGAATTATCCAGTTTTGGAGTGCTTGGTCATCGGTACACGGATGACATACAGCTCTGTCTCTCCTACATCCTTATCAGGTGACACTGTGGATGTGCTAAGCTGGTGTCTGGCTGAGATAATGGACTGGATGAGAGCGAATGAACTGAAGCTCAGTACAGACAAAACCGAGATGCTGTTGCGGGGTGGTCTGACTGGGGTGTTCAACCTGTTCTGGATTGGGTTGCACTCCCTCAGAGGAGCAGGTTCATAGCTTGGAGGTGCTCAGATGGCACAGGGTGCCTTCTACTAGCTTTGGCTGGTGGCCCAGGCATGCCGCTATCTGGATAGGGATAGCCTCATTTCAGTGATCTATGCTCTGGTAATCTCCAATTACTGCAGTGTACTCTACACGGGGCTGCCCTTGAAGACTGTCCATATTAATAAGTGGAACCAGAAGGGCCATCTATATATAACACCAATTCTGGCCTGCTTGCGCTGGCTGTCTATATTTTTCCGAGCACAATTCAAGGTGCTGATTTTAACCTATAAAGATCCACACGGCTCAGTACCTGATGGAATGTCTCTCCTTACCGTAATCTACTCAGACCCTACAATCTTCATCTGGAACTTTCCTCCAACTGCCCAGAAAAATGCAACAAGGAGGAAGGCCTTTTCAGTGGTGGCCCCCCAGTTGTGGAATGGCCTTTCTGCTGAGGCCCACCCAGCCGCAACACTGTCAACTTTTTGGCATCAGGCCCTCTATTCCCGAACATTTAATGGCACATGATGGGTTATATCTACTTCTTTAATTAAGTCTTTTTAATGGAAACATTTTAGATATTAAATTGTTTTTATAATTAAATAGAGTTGTTTAATTCTTTTTGTATTGGAATGTATAACTGTTTTAAGTTTGCACATTGGAATTTTATACTGTTTTAATGTATTTGTATTTTTATTGTACTCCCTGTATTTGATTAAATGTTGTGGAACACCCAGAGATCTTTGACTATCAAGGAGGGACAGAAATAAAATGAGTAAGTGAATAAATGCATTTCATTAGAGAGGCTTAGAGGTCAGACAGGTATAGAGAGGCATACAGGATGTGGAGGGGGGACAAGGCAGAATTCTCCATATGGTTCTCCAGTTCTCCAGGATTCTCCAAATTCCCCAGCTTGCTGCTGAACACAAGTGGGATGGTGGTGCTGTGGCCAGGGCCAACCTGGGCATTTTGCTGCCGCCCCCCTGCCCCTTTCTGTGTACAAGAGCCAGCTGAGACTGGTAGCCGAATCTTAGTTTGGCACAAGACGGCATCTTCCACAGCACCTGGGGCAGCAGGCTGGCTTAGGGGGCACAGAGCTCTGTCCTCAAAGGTCTTGCTGCTGCTCCTGCCCCTGAAGCACCAGCAGCTGCTGCGGCTGCCTTGCTCACTCTGCCTTATGGCAGGGTCAGTCCTGCTTGTGCTCATGGGAAGCACATCCATGTGGGCTTCCCAGAAGCACATGATCGGTCACTTCAGCAACAGGATGCTGAGCTGGACCTTGCAAGGCTTGCTTTCTTAATCTGACCAGCATCAAGACTGATTGTGAAGTCCTGGCTCTCCTTGGAAAGAATCAGGCAGTCATTTCTCAAGTAGCTGAAAGCTGCATGGAATTTTTGTTCCCGTGGTGAACACGTGCATATTTCTTGTGGCCCCTGCATTGTATTTTGAGGCAATACAAAAACGATCAAAGATGAAAGCGCGGGTGAGCGAGCCTGCCTGATGGCCGATTTTCTCTTGACAGCCGCTCTCCATGCCCAGGAGAAGCGAAACGAAGCGGGCTGGCTTGGGCGACCTGTCCCAACCGCACCACTGCGGGGGGTGCCGGGGGCGTGCTGCGTTCCCGTCCCCGCGTTTGGGGAGGAACTTGCCGTCCCCGCCCCTCTGAGAGCCTGGTTGCTAATGTAGCGGTCGGAGGCGGGGGCGGAGGGAAAAAGCTCGTGGGAATTCCCCGGTCCCTCGTGAACGCTGGAAGCAGAGCTGCGGGCTACCCGGAACTGCCCCTGCTTATAAACGCTGGCCGGCGGGCGCAGCGCAGCACACGCGATCGCCGCCTCTGCGCGCAGCATCCCTCCGTTGCGCGCGGGCTGGCTCCGCCTGTGCACTGGTTTGGCTCGCTGCGCCCGTCTCCAGGCATCTACCCGGACCAGCCCTCACCAGCCCCTGAGCAGCGGACCTCGTCGCTGACCGACATGCCTCGCTTTCTCGCCTTCCTCCTCCTCGGCTCCGTCGCTGCCAGCGGTAAGGACAGGGGACTTTTTCCCGGCTGCTGCCGTGTCCAGGGCTTGCTCTAGGTTTACCCGATTCATTGCCTCGCAATCGTGGCTCTTTCATGGGGACCTGGCCCATTAAAAGAAGCTGTCCTCTGCTACCGGAATTCCCCTCCACGTCCAACAGCTGGGATGTTGCCTTCTACCAAGCACCCAGTGCGTGCTCAGTCAAAACAAAAAGAAGTGGCCCTGGGGTCCAGGTCTGTGTGGAAAACACAGGCTCGGATGTGCAGGATGTCTCCAACCTGAATACCCTGAGACATGAGAAATGCACTCTTTGCATGCACAGGGTCAATTTTATCCTGTATTCTTATTTTCCAGGGTTGGTTTCAAAAAGGGATGTTGAGAGGTTTACACAAATCTCACAAATTAATTCCTACCTAAAACTTCTACTTCCTCGCTATCCTTATTTTTTTTCCCACCTAAAACTTCCATTGCTTCACTATGCATTTTTTCCACTTTCCTTTCCTGTTTGGAAATGACAGTGGTGATTATATATATATATATTTAAATTCTTAATAGAATCATAGAATTTAAATTCTTCATAGAATCATAGAGCAGGAGAGGGCTAGGAAAGGTCATCAGCTCTAACCCGTTGCTCAGTGCAAGGCTCCAGTCACACCACCCGCTCAGATGGCTGTCCAGTCACATCTAGAATGCTTCCATTGTGGGAGAGCCCAGCACCTCCCAGGTCATGGGTCCCATTGTCATACTGCTCTGACAGTGAAGAAGCTTTTCACTGTCACGTTTCCTGCATTCCAGATAGGTAGCTGGAATCTGGTTTCCTGTAACTAAAGCCTGTTATTCTGTGTCCTGGACTCTTAAAAAAGCTCTCCACGCTAAAATGACAGATAGCAAAAGAGCAGCCGAATGATGTCCAGAATCTGTTGCCCGAGGGAGCCATTTGTTTATTTGTTATACTCATATCCTGCCTTTTTTCCTTTCAAGGAACTCAAGGCAGATTACATGATTCTGCTCCTCTCAATCTTATCCTCACAACAACCCTGTGAGGTAGGTTGGGCTAAGAGTCTGTGACTGGCCTAGAATCACCCAGTGAGCTTCATGGCTGAGTGCAGAACCCAGACTGCCCGAGTCCTGGCTCTTAACTATTATACCACACTGGCTCTCCCCAGTTGCTTTGTAGCAAGAGTCCTTCTGGCTCTTCCGCTGCTTGTGCCTGGATGAGCTGAGACATGAAACATGACTCCAGTGAACTCCCTTCACTCACCTTCCCCAATGTGCTGCCCTCCAGGTGCATATAACTCAAGCATTCCACTCCGCAGCCAGCAGCAGTCAGAATATTGGTCCCAGATGTGGAAAGCCCAAATTCTATCCCGCTTTCAGGCCACTCTTTTGTGGGGCTGATATTAGATGAAAATGCTCCTCTGAGGTCCTTTTAGAAATGGTGGGTGTGCATCTTGCACGGGTGACTGATGTGTCCCTTACTAAACGAGGCTGCTGCATTTCTAATTTTAGATTTGATGGCTGTTTTAGTTATCTGACATTAGTTCTCGTGCTTGTTTCTATTTATTGTACTGCATTTTTTTTCTTTTAGCAGAGAACTTTCATTTTGGGACAGATTAAAAATAAAGTGGTGCTACAGAGTCACTGATGGAAAAATCAATGGTTTCGTTGTAATTAACAGAAATATATGCATCCCTATAAACATGCTCCATGTATTTCTGTAAAAGTTAATGTCTATGAATTATTCATGTCAGAAACATATAATCTGAAGGATACAAAGTGCTTTTAGATTCGTTTTCAGATGTAGTTTTCAGGTTTCACTATTTATAATCAATACTTTCCTGAAAGAAGGAACTTCCCAACTCCCCCACCACTCTCTTGTGGTCATACAGTACTCAGAATGATGACAGGGGGAACTTTTGTCATGGGCATTTCAGAATGATACGTGTTTATCACACTTAAATGTGCCAACTTTTTATGATGCACCAACTGCCATTGTTTTAAAAAATCAGCCATTTTCCTGTTCTAAAATCAAAATCCATGCAGTAAATTCCAGTACTGCTTTGGTCAGGCCTATCTGTGTGGCTCTGGGTTATGGGCTGTGTCGCATTCAGATGTCATTCCATTTTCTTTGCAAAATGAGAGCCCTAGGACACAGGGCTGGCCTACTCTGAAATAATCTTCCTTCAGGTAAAATAGCAACATGGCTCACATACTTTCAGCGCACCCCTGAGATTCTTGCAAGTGCAGGACTTCTAGCGCTACCTCTTGGAAGGATCTTTTGTTTGGTTTTGAGTTTTTTGTGGTAACAAAACGATGGAAGAAAAGGTAGGACAGTATGGGGAGATTATGAATGGAAGATGACATCGCCATTCATGGGAAGAATGTGTGGTGATGGCACAGCAAAAGCGTCAACCAGAAGCTACCATATGCATGTAGACTCAGAAGTAAATTCCACTGAGTTCAATGTACTTACTCTTCCCAGTAAAATTCCAAAATCCATATTAGTTCAGCAGCTTTATTAGCTCAGTCAAAAGATTACAAAAATGTACAAGATCACCCTTGGGCTGCTCTTTTAGTTAGTCAAGTAAAGTATTAAATTAATATAGGCTTTGGATTGTTTAAATGATCAGCACGGCACTTTCCCCCCTCCCCAGTAAGCATGTTCAGTAGCACATTATCTGGATTGCAAAGGGTTACAGTTCTTTATAGTGCTCCTGACAATTCTCATTGTAGCTGTGCTGGAAATGGGCTGGTTTTCTTTTAAGAGCAGACTAAGGAGTGGCAGAAAATTCCTCTTCTAGATGAAGAGGCAGTCTGATCTAGTGAGTCATTTTACAAAGGAAGGAGAAACTTTTGCCATCTCATAAAGACAGATTGCAAATCACAGAAAAGTACTTGGGTCTCAGGGTCAGAAAAGCCCACAAGATTATGAGTTCCAGGAACAGAGGACTAGAACAAGCTTGACTTTTTAAAACAGGAACTGCAGCATTTTGTGGGGTAATCTGTTAGTACAATTGATGGAAAATATCTGTGATGGACAGGGCACTCCTATGGTGACTGGAAAGGGGACCTGCAGAACCCAAAGTCCTGCTGAGCTTGCACTGGCAGCTGGGAAGGTCAGCATGAGTAGTCGAGGCACATTCTTCTGCCGTTTTCTTTCCTTTTTGGCTGGGTTTTGTTCTTGTCAGATTTTCCCTCCCGTCAGTCTCAGAATGGGAAATAGGAACACCAGCACCTAAGATGGTGTATTTTCCTGCCTTTTCCTGGTGCATGTTGGGGGAACTGAAGGTTTTCCCTAATCCACCCCAGTTACGCCCCCTTCTGCCAATGCTCTTGGAGTGCCAATGGCAGAGATTTCCAAATCCACAACAGTGGGTCTTGGAAGGATGGACTTGCTTCTCTACCTATGGACCTCTTCCTCTTGGGTGTCTCTGTAGGCTTCTGTAGGACACCCTCCTGGAGATCACAGAACAGCCCTCCATGAGAAGCACTTAATGTGCAAGAGCAGTTGCCACCCCTTAGGAGAGGCATTCTCACTTCTCAAACACAGAATTCCTGCATTCCGTGGCTGCTGGTCAAATGCCATGGCCCAAAGGGGTAATCACTGCATGTGTGAACCATGTGCTAAACAACAGTCCCTGCTTCACAAGTAATGTAATTAACACCACAATATATACAAGCAGCTCTACATGGTTTCTGCAGTTTAATGGAATTGCAGAAAAGGTGCAGACCTTTGTGATTTAGGTCCCAAAATTCAGCCTCCTGACACTTTTGAAATAAAGCAGGTTTCTAGACCTTATTACTGCAAAGAATGCCAGAAACTGTGTGGGCAATCTCTTTTCAGAAGCCACAGGGGAAGCTGGTTAAGATCTGTGATTTGTGAGGTGGCTCTTCAAGTGACCTCACTGTGACCCTGGCTTGACAAGCAAAACCAGAATAAACTATGTTGTTGCTGTTGTTGTTGTTTTAATCACAAAATACATGCTGAGCAGATACAGCACCGTGCATGAGAGATCTGCCAGGCTCTCTCATTCTTGCTTACAGATGACTGTGTTTAAGAGGGAGATTTTGGTCAACCTTAGGAAGCATGTGTATGAACACAGATCTTCAGTGTGGTGTAGAGTGCTGAACTGGGACTCAGAAAATCTGGTTTCTAGTCCCCAGTTGGCCATGAAGCTCACTGGGTGACTTTGGGCCAGTCATTCACTCCCAGCCTAGCCTACCTCACAGGGCTGTTGGTGAGGAGGAAGTGGCCACATCAGTCATCCTGGGTTCTTTGTGGCAGGGGGAAAGATAAAAATACTAACTAGTTGGAGCAGGAACAAGAAACTTAAATGTGGTGTTCATCCATATGGGAAAACTAAATCAGAAGAAATGATTTCCTGATCAGTTAGAATCAAAGTCAAATATGACGTCAAACTCCATGAATATCAAGTAAAATAATGCCTGGAACATTGGCTAAAATTACACAACAAAAACACAACCATATGAGACTGAATAAACACGGGGTAAGGAATTTCAAATCAGCAGTCACATTCATTATACAAATAATGCTGTAAAGAAAATAAAATATATCTTCATTATATACTGACAACAAATATATTTCAAATCAATAAAAGTGTTGTTTGCCATATTCCAGATGACTTTTGGCTGTCAAATCATCCTCATTCAGGGGTAGCTGCTCAGACAAATTCGCAAGGCACCAGCTGCCCACCACAGCAAGTACCTAGAAGGCCCAAGTTTGGGGGGGGGGGGTGCGTGCACGTGCGTGCATGCCCATTCATACTGCAATTAGCGCCTGTAACATGCTCCCTTAACCAGATTTTGTGCAGGCCTTCCTCAAATCTGGGCCAGACCTATTGCAGCATAAAGGTTTTATTTTTTTAAATTTAAACCACGGTGTTAGGTGCAGGCTAATAGATATGAATGGCCAACTATTCATTTCTCTGAGGAATAGGTATGAACTCCTTTCCTGCTATGAAAGCCCTCCCTACATTTCCCTGTGACTGGCATATCTCCCGCTTGTCCTATCTTCATTTTACTCTGCCTTCATTTCACTTCCCTCGCTGTAATCTTTCTGGCTATATATTCCCCGTATATGTTTAAATGTTAACACAATTGGCATTCCTTCGGTTTTCAGTAACGGAGAAAGAAGAGTTCATCAGTGTTTGGCCAGAAAAACCTGTCGTGGAATTTGGAGGCTCTGTTGTGATAAACTGCAGCTCCAACTGTGACGGAATTGGCATTGAGAGCAACTTAGACCAGGTTCCTGCAGGAAATGGGAGGACATGGAAAGCCTTCAATCTCACCAGTGTTGAAGAGTGGGCACCCACCCCATCATGCTATGCTCAGTGTACAAGTAACATAAAACCTCCACGCGCAGTGATCACAGTCTACCGTAAGTCCCATCTCAGCCTGGCTGGGGGTAAAAGCTTGCCCTGAAGGGATGCTGGCGCTTGGGAGTGTTGCTTGTCGAGCGGGAAGGTGGAGGTTACTTGCTGGAGCTCAGGGAGGGATCCCACCTTCAGGGTCTCCCTGGGAAAGAAGGGAAAGTGGCTGCTCAGGAAGCGGCGAGGAAGAAAGAGCTTAGGCCGCAGCTCCCAGCAGGGGCACGGCTGGTCTGACTGGGAACTGCCCTTCAGGGTGCCATGCAGGGCTCTCTCCCAGCAAGGGACCCGGGATCCTGGCTTCAGAGCTCTTCCACCAGGGAAGCTGGCCTTGCTGGCACTGACCCTTCTCCTTTTACAGATCTAGTGATTTGCCTGGGCCTTGGAATTCCCTGGGGTCCTAACTTTACCTTGCCCTTCCTGTTGCTGACATTTCATTCTGGGTTGCTCTTTGCTTGCAGCATTTTCTGAACCAGTTTTATATCTATGGTCGAGATGATGTGTTCTTTGCACTAAAAAAAAATCTGTATCAAGGTAACTTAGATGCTTTTCCTGGAAAAGATCAAGTTCTGTGACCTACTATATTATGTAGATTGGGCACATTTTCTATGAGCTGCATAATTTAGTTGGCCATTTTCACTCCTTTGCATGTCACCACCTAATTTTCTTCACTGAAGCTTCACTCCCCGTGGCTGGCCCAGGCTTACTTGAGGATGGCTTAAGCCTCAAATAAGCCAGGCTGTCCAGGCACACACGGAGCGGCCGTGATGTGCGGGTTCAAATGGACAGCCTGTGTTCGCCACTGTGATGCGCAGAGCGGCTCCGAGGTGTAACTCTTCTGCTCACCCGCTGCCTCTTAATTGCACTGATCCAGACCTTCATTCTCTTCCAGGAGCTCCAGAGCATGTAGCGATGGACCCGGTGCCAGAGATGGAGGTGGGCAAGGCATACACCTGGTCCTGCCGAGTTTCCAACGTCGCCCCCATCCGGAATCTCACCATTACCCTGCTCAAAGCAGGGGAAAAAGTTCTGGCGAAGACATTTGAGTCTCATGCTGAAGCTAAAGCTGGCGATGCTGTATTAAGGCATAACGTAATAGCCGAACAGGCTGACCGTGGGAAGGAACTCACCTGCCACGCAGCTCTGGATCTGAGACCTGATGGGCCACTCTTGGAAAAAACATCCAGCAGTGAAGCACTAGCAGCAGTCGGTGAGTGCCCGCCGCCCGTTCCGTTCCCACGTAGCTGGTGGAGACGGGTGGTGCAATGCGACTCGGATTGCACGGCCACTTGGAAGCCCATGCCAAACTGTCCAGGAACTCTCTGTGCTGCTGACCCAATCTGGGGGAAGGGTTCGGGTTCAGCATCAGGGATAGCTTCTTGAAAATTCAGCTGAAATCTGGAGTGGCTACGCAGACCCACTGACACCAGGCTTCAACGCATACACAAAACTTGCCGCAAGACAAAAGGAAAGGGGGATTCAGTTTCTGCCTACAGCCATGAATCTACTCACACATGCTGATGGCACACACTCTCTACTACCTTAGTGGTGATGCTTTCCCCCACATTGGCCATTCTTAGGATACCTTCCGGAAAAGTCTCCTTTGGCTTCAGAGTCCCACTGATGATGGGGATCCTTCATTTTATTCTTGAAGCTGGCAATGTGTGAAGAATGTACCGCTGAAGATCAGCCAGAGCAACCAGGGAAGGCAGCCAGTGGTCAGCAGCGTTTCTTAGCTGACGGGCACGGCTATGCCTAACCGGGCTGGTCTTTGAAGGTGCTTTTACCTCATTGGGTTTGTCCTTGAAACTACTTTTGGACTTTTGCAGACCTCAGGGATGCCCCACCCAGGTTGATACACTGCTCTTGCTTCTCAGCGGCACAGTTTGACTCCATTTCTGTTGGCTCACCAGCACCAACTGCTGTCTGAGGAAGTTCTTATCTTGACTGCGCTTCTTGTTTAGATAACTGGCATGGTTCTGTTATTGTCTTGACAGTTTTTTCCTCGGATCCCCACCTGGAAGCCCCGCTTTCCATGGAGACCAATACCACGATGGCTGTCCACTGCCATGTGTCTGGAGTTTTCCCAGCTGAGGAGGCCCAGTTTGATTTGCAGTTTGCAGGGAAGAGCTGGAACCTCAGCACAAGTGTGTCGGGGTCCAGCGTGAGCGCGCAGGCCCTGGTGTCTTCCTCGTCCACAGGAGAACACACGCTGCTCTGCACAGTCTCTCTGGGGCGAGTGAGCCGAAGGGTTGAGAAGACAGTGAATGTGTACAGTGAGTAATCACAACTCTGGAATTAGCCCATCTCAGTTCCTCACACAAGATTTCTGTCCGTCCGTGCAGTCAGACTGGAAAGAGTTGAAATTTGCTCTTGTTTGGAAAGCAAAAGCCGCAATAATGGTTGCACCCAAACTGGGTTGAGCTTGATTTTGTCTGCCACTGATGGGACTTATCCCACCAACCTTTTCAATGGGGCCGGTGTTCAGCAAACCTTGTCTGGATCCATCCCATGCCCCTGAGCAAGATCCTGCATGCAGGTGTGGAATGTGATGAATCAGGGCACGGAGTCACTCAGGTTGGGGGTCTCGCTCTGAAGTGCTCCATCACAAGGTGCAAATTAGTTGTACCTCCATTGCAAGGTACAAGTTCTCCTTCCCCACCACCCATCAGGCACTTTTAGCACACTGAGCACATTTTTCATGTGGAGAAATATGCGTTCCAAATAGCATGCCAAGGTGCTTTCTTTAAACGGAGAACTGTGTTGAAATACTGGGATGGGCAGAAGCCAGTGAATAACCAATTTCCAAAAGGCACATTTGTTCAGGAGGCCAAATTGTATTGCAGTTTGATGGGGATCTCTTTAGTTATCCTGTCCCTGTCTGATATAAGGGATTATTGCAAAAACCTGACAGGAATCGTCTTGTACCTATGCACCAATAGCTGATGGAGCCAGTGAGATGAATCATGGCTGGTGTGCTCTCTTCTCTTACAGGTTTGCCCAGACCCAGTCTGGAGACTGACTTGCCGCGGGTCCTCGCCAACGAAAGCGTCCTTCTTACGTGCCGATGTAGTAAGACGTGCTCCTCCAGTATTAAAATGCAGATCAGCGATAGCAAGCAGATCTTAGCAACTGGACATGCTCCCACTGTCCAATTTAGAATGACAGCTCGGCAAGACCATGATGGGAGGGAATATGTGTGTCACGCAACACTGAACATCCATGGGCAGCTGGTTGAAAAAAAGACGTCTCTACGCCTCACTGTCTACTGTGAGTAGGAAATGCAGTGGATGTTTCCCAGAGACTGGAAACTTCTGCAGTTGGGACGAATGGGGAGGGTTGGGCAGTTCTTCATGCAGATATATGGGCCCAGTTCTTGCTGCTTGGACTGTGTCCCTTCCAACTGTAAGGGAGGGTCCACATGACTGACTGCTACTGCATGGAAAGAATCTCTGCACATGAAAATAAGCTTAGACTTCTCCCTTTCATGCTAGCTCGCTCGCTCGCTCTCTCTCTCTCTCTCTCTCTCTCTGTGCGTGTGTGTGTGTAGAGAGAGAGAGGAAGATGGAGCATGGGGTATTTATTTTATTTATTTAGACCATTTCTATGCCACCCCATTCGCAAAAAGCCTTGGGTAGCATTTCTCTCTTATATTTAGATCCCACTTATTTCTTGCAAGAAACTCAAGGCCTGCTCCTCTCCATCGTATCCTCATCACAACCATGTGAGGTAGGGGAGGTTGAGAGTCAGTGCTGTTGCTAGTCGCGAAGTCGTGTCCGACCCATCACAACCCCATGGACATTCCTCCAGGTCTTCCTCTGCTCCACCATCCCCCAGAGTCCACTTAAGCTCACACCAACCGCTTCAGTGACTCCATCCAGCCTCCTCATCCTCTGCCGTCCCCTTCTTCTTTTGCCAACTATTGTTCCCAGCATTAGGCTCTTCTCCAGGGAGTCCTTCCTTCTCATTAGGTGGCCAAAGTATTTGAGTTTCATCTTCAGGATCTGGCCTTCTAAAGAGCAGTCAGGGTTGATCTCCTCTAGGAGTGACCGCTTTGATCACCTTGCGGTCCAAGGGACTCACAGGAGTCTTCTCTGGCACCACAATTCAAAGGCCTCAATTTTTCAGCATTCAGTCTTCCTTATGGTCCAGCTTTCACAGCCATACATTGCAACTGGGAAAACCATAGCCTTGACTATACACACTTTTGTTGGCAGGGTGATGTCTCTGCTATTTAATATGCTGTCTAGATTTGCCATAGCTTTCCTCCCCAGGAGCAAGCATCTTTTAATTTCTTGGCTGCAGTCCCTGTCTGCGTCAATCTTGGAGCCCAGAAAAATAAAATCTGTCACTACCTCCATTTCTTCCCCATCTATTTGCCAGGAAGTGAGAGGACCGGATGCCATGATCTTAGTTTTCTTAATGTTGAGTTTCAAGCCAATTTTTGCACTCTCTTCCTTCACCCACATCAAGAGGCTGTTTAGTTCCTCTTCACTTTCTACCATTAGAGTGGTATCATCTACATATCTGAGGCTGTTGATATTTCTCCCGGCAATCTTAATTCCAACTGGTGATTGATCTAGCCCCACCTTTCTCACAGTGTGCTCAGAATGTAAGTTAAATAGGCAGGGTGACAGTATACAGCCTTGCCGAACTTCTTTCTCAATTTTGAACCAATCAGCGGTTCCGTGTCCAGTTCTCACTGTTGCTTCTTGACCTGCATATAGGTTTCTCAAGAGACAAATAAGATGGTCTGGTGTTCCCATCTCTTTAAGAACTTGCCACAATTTGTTGTGATCCACACAATCAAAGGCTTTAATATAGTCAATGAAGCAGATGTTTTTCTGGAACTCCCTAGCTTTCTCCATGATCCAGCGTATGTTGGCAATTTGATCTTTAGTTCCTCTGCCTCTTTGAAATCCTGCCTGTACTTCTGATAGTTCTCAGTCCACATACTGCTGGAGCCTAGCTTGTAGGATTTTGAGCATAGCATTGCTAGCATGTGAAATGAGTGCAATGGTGCGGTAGATTGAGCATTCTTTGGCATTGCCCTTCTTTGGAATTGGAATGTAAACTGACCTTTTCCAATCCTGTGGCCACTGTTGAATTTTCCAAATTTGCTGGCATATTGAGGAAGAGGCCCTGCGGCCTGAAAGCGCCGGCGGCGGCCGGGGAGGGGAGCCGGCAGAAACAACTGCGCGCCGAGGGGACGCACCTCTTCCACGCCCCGGGACTCCGTGCCGCCGCCGCCCCGCAGCGAACGCCCGCACCGCCAGTGCCACCACCTGACCGGCCCGCCACGCCCCTGCACGGGTGAGGGACATGCACCGGACGGGGCGGAGTGTCGGGAGGCCCCGCGGCCTGAAAGCACCAGTGGCGGCTGGGGCTGGCGGCCGAAGGGCAGTCGCTGCCGTTTGGGCACCGTTCGGGGGGCTGGGCTGGCCAGGGGACTTTGATTGGCAGCCCTATAATTGGCCCTCCAACCGTTTTTATAATTTTATTGTATTTTAAACTGTTTTATGGAGTCGTCCCTGGCCATGTCGCCGCTTGTGCTTCCTGGGGAGCGCATGGGCGCCGCCATTGGGGTGGTTTTGGGCAATGGATGTAACAGTGGTGGGAGCTTAACATGTCTGCATAGAAGAAGGAGGGACAGATGGCTGACACCTGTCCCTACTTCTGGTTTTGCCCCCAGCCAGAGGGTGCCAGGGAGTCTTGTCAGCCGCCCCTCGGGCCTGACAGTGCTGTTGCTTAATGCCAGGTCAGTCAATAACAAATCTTCCCTCATCCATGATTTGATTGTGGATGAGGGTGCCGACCTGGCTTGCATTACAGAAACATGGGCGGGAGAAGGGGGGGATGTGGCCCTCTCCCAAGTGTGCCCGCCCGGGTATCTAGTTCAGCACTGCTCGCGCCCGGAGGGGAGGGGAGGGGGGGTCGCTTTGGTTTACTGAGCTTCCATCTCTCTCACTGGACTTCCTGTCCCTTCGAGACCAGGGCTGGAGTGTCTCTACTTGGTGTTGGGCGACTGAGACAGATTGGGGATTCTGTTGGTGTACCGTGCACCCTTCTGCCCAACAGTCTCCCTGCCTGAGCTGACGGAGACCGTCTCGGACCTGGTGTTGAGGACCCCCAGGATGTTGGTCCTGGGGGACTTCAATCTCCATGCCGAGACTGATCTGACCGGGGCAGCTCAGGACTTCATGGCCTCCATGGTGGCCATGGGGCTGTCTCAACATGTCACTGGCCCGACCCATGAACATGGACACACTCTGGACCTGGTTTTCTCGACGGGGCAGGAGGAGAGTGATCTGAGGGTGAGGAATTTATGCTTGACTCCCCTGTCATGGTCAGACCACTTTCTGGTCAGGTTTGTGCTCGAGAGCGACCTCTCCCTCAGTAGGGGTGCGGACCCGATTGTGTGGGTCCACCCCCGGAGCTGGATGGATCCGGAAGGATTCCTGAAGGCCCTGGGGGAGTTTCCGGCTGACAAGATGGGTGCTCCTGTTGAGGCTCTGGTCGAACTGTGGAATGGGGAGATGACCAGGGCTGTGGACACGATCGCTCCTAAGCGTCCTCTCCCACCAGGCAGAGCCCGCTCTTCCCCTTGGTATACTCCTGAATTGAGGGCGATGAAGCAGGTTGGGAGACGGCTAGAGTGTAGGTGGAGGAAATCACGGGATGAATCTGACTGAACGCACTTGAGAGCCCACTATCAGGCCTATGCTGTGGCAGTGAGGGCGGCGAAAAAGAGATTTTTTTCTGCTTCCATTGCCTCCTCACAATGCCGTCCGGCGGAGCTTTTTCGAGTGGTGCAAGGCCTGGTTCGTCCAGGTCCGAAAGAAGACCTGGTTCCACCCTCAAAGGCCCACTGTGACGACTTTGCCAGGCATTTCAGGGAGAAAATCGCTCAGATTCGTCACGAGCTGGATTCCACTATTGATTCAGAGGTTTTTAGGGAGACACCAATGCCGCCGTCTGGTCCAGAATTATTGGATGAATTTCAGTTACAGTGGCCTGATGATGTGGACAAGGTGCTTGGACGAGTACGTCCCACCATTTGCCTATTGGACCCTTGCCCGTCTTGGTTAATAAATAATTCCAAGCACGGGATTGGGATCTGGATCTTGGAAGTGGTTAACGCTTCTCTGAGGGAGGGTCGGGTGCCTGCCCCTTTAAAGGAGGCAGTAGTCCGACCGGTCCTGAAGAAGGCGTCACTGGATCCAGGGATGGCCACTAATTATAGACCAGTGGCCAACATTCCGTTTTTGGGCAAGGTGTTAGAGCGGGTGGTGGCGGGACAACTCCAAGCACTCTTGGATGAAACTGATTATCTGGACCCATTTCAGTCCGGCTTCAGACCCGGGTACGGTACTGAATCTGCCTTGGTCGCCCAGTACGATGACCTGTGCATGGAGAAGGACAGGGGGAGTGCGTCCCTGTTGGTTCTCCTGGATCTCTCAGCGGCTTTCGATACCATCGACCATGGTATCCTTCTGGATAGGCTTGCGGGATTGGGGGTCGGAGTGTAGCACTTTTACTGCACCGTCTTTTAGGATTTTGAATAGCTCAGCTGGAATACTGTTGCCTCCACTAGCTTTGTTGTTGCTCAGACTTCCTAAGGCCCATTTGACTTGACATTCCAGGATGTCTGGCTCGAGGTCAGCGACCACCCCATCGTGGTTATCAGGGACTTGAAGCTCTTTCTTGTACAGTTCTGTGTAATCCTGCCACCTCTTCTTAATCTCTTCTGCCTCTGTTAGATCCCTGCCATTTTGGTCCTTGATCATGCCCATCTTTGCATGAAATGTTCCCTTCATATCTCCAATTTTCTTTAAGAGATCTCTGGTCCTCCCTATTCTGTTGTTTTCTTCTATTTCTTTGCACTGTTCATTTAAGAAGGCATTTTTATCTCTTCTAGCTATTCTCTGGAATTCTGCATCCCACTGGGTGTATCTTTCCCTTTCTCCCTTGCCTTTCGCTTCCCTTCTTTCCTTGAGCTATTTGTAAGTCTTCCTCAGACAGCCGTTTTGCTTACTTGCATTTCTTTTTCTTTGGGATGGTTTAGGTGCTACCTCTTGTACAATGTTGTGAACCTCCGTTTATAGTTCTTCAGGCACTTTGTCTATCAGAGCTAATTCCTTAAATCTTTTTGTCACCTCTACTCTATATTCATCAGGAATATGATTTGGGTCATACCTGAGTGGCCTAGTGCTTTTCCCTGCTTTCTTCAATTTAAGCCTCATTTTTGCAACAGGAAACTCTTGATCTGAGCCACAGTCAGCTCCTGCTCTAGTTTTTACTGACTGTATAGAGCTTCTCCATCTTTGGCTGCAGAGCACATAGTCAATCTGATTTCTGTGTTGACCGTCTGGTGATGTCCATGTGAAGAGTCGTCTCTTGGGTTGTTGGAAAAGAGTGTTTGTTATGACACTCTTTTGCTATGAGAGTCAGCGTCCAGTCCCAAACCATCCTTGGGGCTTCATGGTCAAGGGGAGGATGGGAACTTGGTGCAATGGTTTCCCAGGTCCCAGGTCCTAGTCCAGCGCTCCAGATAGCAAAAAATCTACAGTGGTTAACATAAGCTTCTTTTGCTCTCTTTCAAGCAAGCCTTGTCCCCACCCAGCTTCTATGTGATTTGCTAGATTTAGCAATGGAGGCGGCTTTGCACCGTGCCGGCTTCCTCACAGGCCTGGGATCCATGGAGCATGCAACACACACTGCCTAAGCCGCACGAAGTGACTACACATTCTGTGACATTTTGCACGGCAAAATGGGATGGTGCCCTGCATGCCACTTTGCCAAGGAACATTGTCTTCCCCATTCTAGATGGAGCCTGGATGGACAATTTGAGCTGCCCTGATACGTTGACCTGGAGAGAGAACAGCGATGAGACTTTTAACTGCTCTGCCTGGGGAAACCCACTGCCAACAGTTGAATGCAGGAGAGGTGACAAACCTTTCAGGATCGGGGTCCAACAGCGGATCTACAGAGAGCATCATGGTCTCTATAAGTGCACAGCCACCAACAAGTACGGTTTCGATGTTAGAACTGTGACAGTTCACGTTGAACGTAAGTTGACTTCTTTTACCCAAAAAGTGAAACAAAACCCATCTTTGGACATGCAACTGATGTCCATGAATGGATCTGTCTCCAGGTTTATTATCCAAAATGCAGGTCCAAATTGTGCGTTTTAAGCCTATTCCAGGGAGGCTAATGAACAGGTGTCCTCTCCAGTCATCCCATAGATGCTCAGCTGTCACCAAGTTGTTGGCTTGCTCAGTAGTCTTTGTCAGGTTTTGGAGGAAGCCTCAAAAGACAGGGGCTGTAGAGGGCTACAATATCCCATCTGAGTTTGTATAGCTGAAGTCCTGGTGCCAGCAGACACCTCTCTTGGCAATTACTGAGGCTCCCTGCCTATCCTGGTTATTGTTTGATTGTGTAGATTTTTTAAAAATGGGGAGGCTCTCCTCCAACACCATCCAAATTTGGGTTCAAAAATGGAGCCTTTGGAATTTTGACTCCACTTCTGCCTTGTTTTTCAGAGTTGCTTTTCTTTTACTTTCCCCACTTTGCCTTCTGAAAATCTCACTTTTGTGGAACTTGTGCCCAGGTACCAACAGCATGTCGTTTCCTGCGCCACCTTTATCTTATAGGGCCTTCTTTAGTTGACCTGCCACTGTTCGTATTGATATCTTGTTTTTACTGTTGTGTTTTATTCTTTTTTGTATTTTTATTGCTTATCACACTGGAATGTGTATAGCTATGGAGCAGTATTTAAAAACTGTGTGTAATAATTTTTAGTGGTGGGAGTCAGCAGCAGTTTGGACATCAGGGAAGGGGGGTGGGGAAGGCCACGCAATATTCTTGCATTGTGGTGCCTGGCAGGAGCCTCATCCAAGCCTGCCTAAACATGCATTTGGCACTGAGAAACTTGCATGAATTCTTTTTCATCCGTGGGGCTTAGAATGTTCTTTACAAACAAAATGGAGGGCTTCTCTGCCCAAGCCTTGTCTAGGTGGCAGAACTGCAACTCTCTGAAACTGTGTTTTCTTTTCACAGCTGCACATCTTAACATCCTTGCAATAGCTATACCAACTGTTTTGGCGTTGGCTGTACTTGGGGCTCTGGCGGCCTATTACATGTATTACAGAAAGCATAAAATCAGGAAGTATCGCTTAAAGCAGCAGCAGCAGCGGCGGCGGCAGCAGCAGCTGCAGCAGCGAGCAGCAGAGGAAAAATGCCTGAACGGAAATGCACAGGCTGAGAATGTCTAAGTGGGCAGATGGCTACTTGGAACTGAAAAGGAACTCAGCCCAATGTTGGACAAGTTTCAGCTGCTATGAGGGATCACCGCCCCACCTAGTTTGGGGCAGAACCTGAGAAAGCCTACCTCTGGGGCAGAACAGCTGGTGGCAATGCTGTTCTTGGCTTTTGTCTTGGCGAATTCTGCACTTTCAGTTATGGTCAGTAGCATTCATTACAAGGGATGGGCTCAGAGGCTTGGGCCACGTGTCTCCTTGTTAAGGCCTCCTCTTCTATCCAGGGCTGCCCTCCAGATGCTTAGCTGAAGAGGTGACTGGACAGCTCTGGAAGGCTTAAGAGAGACCTGACAGCTTCCACTGACTCAGTGGAAGACCACAGTGGGAGAGCCTGGGCTGATACGCTGGATGGGGACGTTGGCAGCGCCAGTAATGGACTATTCAGTACTAAGCTTTTAGCCCTGTTGTGTGAACCTTTCAGCACCACCAGATTTACCGGGATTATCTGTAGGCAAGGACATGAGTACACGAGGCACTGGAGAAATAATGCCTATTCCTCAGGAGGGTCACTAGCGAATGTTTCATAGCACAAGCTGGAATGGCTGGGACTTCACGAAAGACCAAACCTCTTCTGGCTTATATGATCTACAGCAGGAGCCCTGGATGGTTTTCTAGTTTGTTTCCTGGTTCGAAAATTCGAGATTTTCTTGTTCAGAGACAGGATGTGTCCTATGTGTCAGTCTGAATCCAACATGATGCTTTTCCTAAGCAGAAATAAAGCTGGACATCAAAACAGACTGTGATAAAGGAAGGGCAGGGAACAGGCCCACGTTACCCATGATGGCTGAAACAACATGCCACCACGGAAGAGCAGTGCTTCATCATACGAAAAAACTGTTGTGATTATTGTGGATGTTCCATTTGTCTTCCACATTCTGCCCTGCATGAGCAATAGTCACATTTGGCAAAATGTGTGCAGGAGAGAAAACACTTGTACATGTGAAAACACTTGTGGGGCTGCTTCAGGAAGTGCGTTTTTAAGTTAGGATAGGGAGAATGCTGTCACACAGAATTTGTCTTTGTAGAAGCATTTGGATTTTCAAAGAACTTGATTGAAACCCAACACTGGATTTACAAATTTTCCGTACCTTGAGTTCTGGATGATGAGCACCCACACAACCATTTCCACAAAGGAACCACAAATAATTTTTCATGCATCTTCCAAACCATGACGGATCCTTTTTCAAAACCCGCAAGTCATCCTAATTCTCACTTGCACGTATTTGGTTTTACATTCATGTTTTACTGCAGGAAGAATTATAGCAACAGCTTAATACTGTTCATACTATCGGCCAGGAACTGTAGCAGATAAAAGTAAAGTGAGTGGCCATAGTGGGAGAGTGAATCCAAGAGGGATTTTTTAAAAAGTGCTTTGCCAAATAAATGAAATATTCGTTTCAAAATGTGGTGAATCTCTGTGTGACTGGAAAATACTGCGTGTGGCTAGCAGTAAGTTGGATGGGGGATAGAAGGCGTGCAATGAGTGTTCCTTGGCTGCTCTGTTGTGTTATTACACAGCCACATATAAGGGTGTGAAGAATCTGAACAGAAAATTGCAGATGCTGGGGTGAGGTTGTGTTTGCATCCCCTAAAACAGAGAAAGCCACCTTTGGATCTGGGAGGCCAGCAAATCAGAGCCATTGAGAAGCAAGAGGGAAGAAGCAGCATGATGGGGGAATCCTGCAGAACAATTTAAATCATAACCCTCCCCCCCCGCCCAGAAAGCCAGTCTAATGAGGGTGTGGGCATGGTCAGAGTGTCAGATGAAATAAAGAAATGCAAAAGAGAAAGCTTCAATACAAAGTGGCAGGAATTATCAGGAGAAGTTGGTGCCTTGCTAATGGACTGGCACTCTGCACAGGAACATTCCTGCTAAGATGTCAGGACCAGTGCCAACCTTTGCTGACCATGGTTGTCATATTCTGCTCAAGGAAGCCGATATGGGGCCAGAGACTAAGGTTTCATTGTGGCTCTTTCTTAAGGACATGGGCTACTCTACATGAGGTTTTGAACTTACCACTTTCTGTGGCTTCTTCTTCTAGATTCTTTGTGGGATTAAGATCACCTCCTTTACATGTTATTTTATCTAGGGGGGCATCCTCAAGGTTGTGAAAAAGCAGAATTGAAAAAATAAGTATTTCATCCGGTCATTTCCAAATAATAGCATACTTCCTACACCTAAAAAGAGCTGTGGGAGAGGGCGTGGAAAATGGTAATGTGGTGTGAAGCACCCACACCCTACTGTGAGGGAGGAAATTTTGCTAGTTGCCTCTGACCCTTCGCGACCCCATGGACAACACTCCTCCAGGCCTTCCTGTCCGTGCACAAGGTTTAAAAAAAATTGACCTGCCTGCCACTGACAGCCCTTTAAGGTGCCACTGAGGTGCTTTTAAAGGGTTGCATATGGCAGCTGAAATGGGGATCACATAAACCAGCTGTTTTGTGATCAAATGAAAACCGAGAGCTACAGTAAGGCGGGTAGCAAGCCAGTGCCAGCTGGGCCCAAGTGCTGGGGACCTCAGCCCAAGCTGTACTATGGACCAGCGTTGCACCATCCATTGTCTTCCAGGGATCCCAGAAGACTGAGGGGATGGAAGCATACATCCTCTACATGCAACCTATTGATTTCTTCTCTTTGGCTAACTGGGAAAATTTCAAAGGAAAATCAACTTCTTCCCCTTCACAATTGTGTGTCGATTACCTTGAAATCCCTCAGCAGAAAGAACCTTTGCCATTTGGCAAAGCAGTAGCCAGTTCTTGATACCCACAATGGGTTGGTCACTCAAAAATTCCCCAAAGCCTATGCATGTTCTTCTCAATTGCTTCAGTGTCAAGCTGTGCATATACCAGCTTATAATGACTATTTCATCATTTAGTATAATTACCATATTGACATATGGCTGTAGTGTCCTATATTTTGGTGTGATGCAACATTAGATTTACAGTGGATATGTTGATATTGTTTTTAATGGTTCTGTTAAAGAGAATTTACACTTGCATTGCACTGAATTATTAGCTGAAAAACAAAAAAGAACGTTTTTTCCAGACCCATTCCATTGGCTCAAGAACAGATATGAAATCTGGAGCACTGATCTGAATAAAGTTCAAGTGGAATAGTTCGGCATGGGTTTTGTTTATGGTTAGGCACTGCCCACGCAGCAGGCCTACTGGATGAAACGGCGTCTCACAGTGAAGGTCCTACTTGCAGGCCAGCAGATAACATGCCGCAGTCATAGGAAGGCAGATTTCAGTTGAACATCTGGGAAAAACTCTTCCTAGCAGATTACCAGGTGGAGGGAGGTGGTGGGCACTCCCTCACCAGTTATTTCAAGAAGAGACTGGGAAACCACCAGGGCCGTCTTAATGCATGGGCCTGATGGGCCCTTGCCCGTGGGCCCCATACTAATCTGTGTGTGTTAACCCTTCAATGCACCTTGCATCATATATGATACATGCCGATCAAAGGCGTAGAGGTACTTCACTAATTGCTAATTTCTTTTCCGCTTTGTATTGTATCTGATACGCACTGCACTGTGAGTAGTTGTCCTAGGGGCCCCAGTACACTGCTTTGCCCGGGGCCCATGATGCTGTTAAGACGCCCCTGGAAACCACCTGTTGGGCGCGTTACGCTGCATCCGTGCGAAGAGAAGGGCACGTGCCCGATGGCCTGAATGGCCCCTTCTGGGTCTACGATCACGGGAGTGGGGGCAGCGCCCCAACCATTCTAGCAGCTGCGCGAACCCCACAGCCGCTCCTTAGAGATGGTGAGGGTGGCGTGCAAGGCGCAGTTCGTCTCCCCGCGCTGGCGAAGGAGGACACGTGTCCCTCTGGCAGCTTCGCGCCCCCTCCCCTTGCAGGCGTTTCACAGGTAGCCTGCGGTTCGTAAACACAGCCCGAGGGAGTTTCCCGGTCTCTAGCGGGCGCTGAGAAGAAAGCGGAGGGCTTCCCGGAACTGCCCCGCCACTTACTTACAAACCTTCGCGCCAACAGCACACGCGCTCGCCGCCGCTCCTCGCAGCATCGCTGGCCGCCGCCTCCGCCTGTGGACTGATTCGGATTGCTGCACGCGTCTCCAGGGGTTTATCGGGCCCCGCTCATCACTGAGCGGCGGACCTCGCTGCTGACCGAGATGCTTCGCTTTTTCGCCTTCTTCCTCCTCCTCCCGGCCGCCAGGGCTGCTGCTAACGGTAAGGGCGCGTAAAGCTTCCTGTCCCGCTGAAGTCGTGGCTTTGAGCCTGCATCCCTCCGGTTTCCACCACCCCTTCACTCCTTGCCCCTGGAGTCCTGTCTGAGGGAGCTGGCTTGCTTTCCGCGCGAAGACCTCATCCAAAGAAGCGAAGCGCACCGCTGGACTTCCCCACCTTAGAAGTTATCAATGAGTAGCTATTGATGAAAAGTTATTGATGGATGATGAATCTGTCCCTCAAAGCTCATGCCTTTGCTGGGAAAAAGCTGGTGGACCTGCTCAGGTCTGCCTGGAAAAGCTAGGAGGTTCTCCACTCCCAATTTCCCAAGAAGTGCAGGCTTAAATGTTAGAAGACACAAGAAATGCACTTTTCATCTGCCCTGGGGGCATTTTCATAGATATTTAGCCAGAACTACAGATGTGATAGTTGTGCTTCCCCTGTTGTGACTAACACTGAATTCATACTTGGTGTTAGTGCAGACAGGCACTAGCAAAAGCATTGTTAACAGACCTTAGTGGAAATAAACTTTTGTGCTTTACTGAAGGCACAATATTCAGCTTTGTTGGTGGCAGAGAACTCAGACCCAATGAGCTTTTCTGCTCAAGGGACTTGTATGCTCAGGATTCCTCATTCAGGGTCATTTGCAGGTGCTTTGCATAACAGCTCCTCTCTTCTCCTGTCAAGGGAAGTCTGATATATTCCAGAAGGGCAGCATCAACCCCTGCTGTACTTGGCCCAACTCTGCCATACCAGCATCACCTAGTGCTTGTGTGGTGCGACATAAAGGCAGAAAAAAACTGGGGAGGCCACAGAGCGGAAAGGCGCCATCTTAATTCCACAAAACTCCGGAAGCAAGGAGCCTTGATAAATGGTGGGTTAAAAGACTCATGTAGAAAAGCCCAAAGACGAGCTCCTTTTTACACTTCCTCTTTTACTGTATCCAGTGCGCATACACAGGAAACATAAAGCACCCATGCAACTGATACGCTAGCCAAATGAGCAACTCACCCTGGCTGGATTCTCTGGATGCAACATGGCACAGCACACCCCGCCACAACTTGCACTTTCAAAATATCAGCTGGTACAAGGGGAAACCCTGTGGGTACATTAAAGACAGTGGTTTTTCGGGATGTGTGAACCAGGTAGTCTCCGAATGCAAGTGTCCCACGAAGAGACTGGCAGCCGAACTGGATAGGGGAGAGCGGAGTGGGGCAGGTACACAGGTGGGCAAGAGCAACCTGCTGCCTGGGATGGGCCAGCAAGTGCTGCCCTCCATTCTTCACTGGCTTATCGCGGACCAGTCACGACCTTTCCGCCCCAGCTTACTTCACATTGATGGGAAGAATCTCCAGCTCTGGGGGAAAAATAAACGGAATTAAATAAAGCCATATATAGATCATCCTGGAAGGAAAGAGGGCTACCTTTATCTTAATGGTGGGCTCCCAAACATGCCAAATCTCCTGCTGTGCCTTGAATGCTGCCTTACTGGGAGCACAAACACCCAGTGCTAGGGAGCACTAGGGACAAGGGGCCCCACTTGGAAACATATCTTACAAAAACCTTGGGTGGAAGCCATGTCTGGAAGAGTGATGTTAACTCCTAGAACTCATACTAGAAAAAGACACTACAGAATTTGTAAAAGGCATTCTCCACCTTCTCATTTACTGTACCCAAATTACTCCATCTGCTTCGTGATCATCAGCTCACAGAATCTTCATTGACAGCACAATTCCATACATAGAAGCACAACCTGCTCACCGCTTGAGAAACTGCTTCGATTTCAAGTAGTATATAAATACTGCAAATAGGTAAAATCAAGTTGTATGTGATACTTAGAAATAAGTGCAACTGAGTTTAGTGGTGTTTATTCCCAGGCAAGGATTGCAGCCATGGATCAGAAACCCATGTGAGTCTACTTAGAAATTGTATTTGGTAAGATTTACTCTCAGGTAAACATATACAGTTGCAGCCCCAAACTCTCTCTACCCCCCTCTCCCCTTCTTCTGCCCTCCCTTCCTTTCTTCAGGCTGCTGAATAGGTTTTCAGTTCATAGCCTCCCAACTGCATTTCCTAAATCACCCCAAAATTGCCAGTCTGGGTAGCAACACTGGAGTTCACTGCAAGGGTGTCAGATGCTAGCTTCTCTCCTTCGCATATTGGCATAACCACAACAGGAGACTATGCAGCCGGAGCATAGTCCTCAGCCTATGCTCAGCCAGAGCGCTACCCTTAAGGCGCACGGAGCTGACCCGGAAGGCCTGAACGGCTTGTCCCGACGGCCTTTTCCGCGAGCCGGGGAGGCAGCGCCGCCTACTGACGGAGGGTGAGGCCGCGCCTGCCGCTGCAGAACCCAGAGCGGTAAGGCTGGGGGACTGGGGTCGCTGCCTTCCTCCGCTCCCCGTCCCCCCCCCCCCCCCCGGTGGAGGGGGGGGGGGGGGGGGCCGCCCCCCCCCCCCCCCCCCCCCCCCCCCCCCCCCCGTTGTAAGAGCAGAGGCGGGGAGGCACTTGCAGTCGCTGCCTCCTTTCGCTGCAAATGTCGCCTTTTCTCCCCGAAGGCCGCTGTCCGGCATGCTTATTGCACTCCTAGGCCAGGCCAGCTGGCGTAGGAGTGCAATTAAAATTCCACACGTTTTCACGGACAAACTATGACTAAACAACATGGGGCTGCGAAGCAGTCCAAAAGCATCTCCAAATGGGGTGAACAGAAATCAAAATGACCAATATGGTTCGATGTAAAATAGCTTGATCCCCTTTTCATGCAAATTAAATTGAGGCACCTTACAGCCCTCTGAAGGCTGAACCCCTGAAAGGGGCCTGAAAGGACTACACTGTCCGCTTCCCTGAGGTCTCAGATGCATCTCAGAGAGGAATAAAAGGTTGGGAGGAAAGGAGGGTGGGGCTGAGGGGTTATCTTGAATACAAGCGGCACCTGACCCTTTTCTTCCCTTCCTGGGTACCTGATGTAGGTGGCTGAAAACTTCTGTCTTCATAAAATCTGGGTGCCAGGAATGGAAGCGGCAAGCGCTGCCACTGCACCCACCTTGCTCAGTGCACAGGATGCCTGGAAGCCTCCAAGTTCAGAGGCTCAGGTGCAGCAAACAGGACTGAGGTCAATTTCTTTCTTTTCTTTCTTTTTTGTTCCACTAGGACACTAGTGTTTGATCTTGGCACTTGAGAGGGCAAATTAAACTTGAGTGACTGGAATCCCCTAAACCTGAAGACAATGGATCACCCAGTGCTGGGCAAGGGGGGCGGTGGAGATTATCTTCACCTCCCCACCCTCCTGCCCTGCAGGTCTCATGGAAGGGGCAACACCAAGCACTTTTGGATGATACAGATTATCTAGACCCATTTCAGTCTGGCTTCAGACTCGCTTATGGTGTTGAATCTGTCTTGGCCGCCCTGTACGATGACCTGTGCAGGGAGAGGGACAGGGGGAGTGCGTCCCTGTTGGTTCTCCTGGACCTCTCAGTGGCTTTTGATACCATCGACCATAGTATTCTTCTGGATAGGCTGGCCGGGTTGGGAGTTGGAGGCTCTGGATGGCAGTGGTTCTGCTCCTTTTTGGGCCGGTTGATTTCAGAAGGTGGTGCTGGGGGACTTTAGCTCTGTGCCATGGCAGCTTTGCCATGGAGTACCACAGAGCTCTATTTTGTCCCCCATGCTTTTTAACATCTACATGAAACCGCTGGGAGAGGTCATCAGGAGGTTTGGGCTGCGGAATCTTCAGTACGCTGATGACACCCAGCTCTACCTCTCGTTCACATCTAATCCAGGTGAGGCAGTGGCTGTCCTGAACCAGTGCCTGGCTGAGGTAATTGGCTGGATGAGGGCCAACAAACTGAGACTCAGTCCAGATAAAACAGAGGTCCTTTTGGTGGGCAGTTTGGGTTTTCAGATAAGTGATTTTGACCCTGTCCTGGACGGGATTGCACTCCCTCTAAAGGACAGTGTCCGCAGCCTAGGAGTGCTCCTCGACCCAGAGCTGTCCCTGGAGGCCCAGGTGATGGCAGTGGTGAGGAGTGCTTTCCTTCAGCTTTGGCTGATCCAACAGCTGCGTCCTCACCTGGGCGAGCACTGCCTAGTAACGGTGACACATGCCCTGGTAAATTTCTGGTTGGATTATTGTAACACGCTCTGTGTGAGGCTGCCCTTGAAAATGGTCTGCTACAAAATAGAGCTGCCAGGCCACTGATGGGGACTGGCCATTATTCCCACATAATTCCAGTCCTCTATCAGCTTTGCTGGCTTCCAGTTGAAGTCCGGCCCCAATTCACGGTGCTGGTACTTACCTATAAAGCCCAAAACGGCTTGGGCCCAGGAGACCTGAAGGAACGTCTCTTCCCCTATATGCCCTCATGCCCCTTAAGATTAGCAGAGGAGGCCTTGCTCCGTGAATTCTCTTTGAGGGAGTTACAGAGGGTATCCAAGTGGAGGAGGGTCTTCTCTGTGGTGGCACCCAGCCTATGAAACATGCTCCCCAGAGAGGTCTGCCTGGTGCCGACTCTCTACTCTTTCTGGCACCTTTTTTATTTAACCATCTTTTTAATACCTAACATCACTAATTTTAATAATATCGTTAATTAATACAGTCGCATCTTCATTTTCTTTTGTTTTTTCTTTCTTTAATTAGGAGAGGATATATTGTTGTTAATTTGTTTTATTGTGGAAAGTTTTTAATGCTATTTATAAGACTGTATTGCTATTTATATTGTTATTTTTATTTCTGTAAGCCATCCTGAGGCTGCTGCAAAGGTTGGCATATAAATGCTTAAATTAAATTAAATTACATCAAGGGCTTTTTAGCTCATCTTGCAAGGGTACTTTGGAGGGGGAGGGAAGGTGAGTGAAAGAGGCTCAGGACAAGTTGTCTGGTGGACTCTGGTCTTCTGCCCCCACCTGCCAGAGCACCCTGCTTTCCCCCTCTGATCTCCACACCTGCTCAAACAGGTGCACAGGATCTTGGAGCACTGCCTCTGAACTCAGCAAGGGGTCATTCCTCTGACACTGTCAGGATCACAGAATTGCTCTCGTAACATAATTTCAGTATGCTACTATATAGTCATTTCATCACTTCCTTTACACTGATTAAATTTTAAGGGGAAAAAACAAAGGGACTAGAAGCTTAGTGATGCACTAATGGATTTTCACAGCCCAAAGAAGCTGTTAACTAGTCATGTATTTTGACTCTCCTTCACTGTGGTTGCCTACACACCTTGACACCTTCAGTTTCACTCTCGGAAACTGCTAGTTCCACCTGACACTGAGGCATACATTCAATGACATGGATGTACTTTTGCAGGTATTCTCTAATTACTGGAAACACATCAATTAAAGCTGCCAAGCTTGCCAAATGTTGCATTTGCAGTAAGCGTGCCATTAGCCAGAATTCATTGCTGCTGATTATCTTCTGAAACAGAAAAAATATTCCATAGAAACTAAAACACTGGAAAAATGTTCATTTTTGCAAAATTTTGCACCCCACCTCCCTGAGGCCCACACCCATTTTGACAGTTCTTGGCACACTTGGGCAGCTCCTGGAATCTCAGCATGACAGCAGACCCCTGATGAGGACCTCTAGCTTGGGCCCCAGTGACGGGTAAACCTGTGATAAGGGGCACACCAATGTAAGAGGGGCCCAGCAAAACATTCTTTGCTTGAGGGCCTCCACAAACTCGAGGCACCGTCTGACAATTACTCAACTGTCACAACGTATTACATTCATCATACGGAGTTGGAAAGGGCAATAGCTATTAACAGGTGGGTGCTTGTTTCCCAGGGAAGCTTGTTTCTCCCTTGTGTGCTTTATAAACCCCATCTGCTTTCCTACATGCCTGTTGTATGTCCTTACATTCGTCCATTCCTCTCTTTACTTTCCCACTGCAATCTTAGCTTGCCCTTTTATGACTGCATTTTCATACAAACTGTGTATCTGTTGTGCTTTCAGGAACCGAGGAAGCAGAGTTCATCAGAGTTTGGCCAGAAAAACTTGTGGTGGAATCTGGAGGGTTCGTTGTGTTGAACTGCAGCTCCAACTGTGATGGAATTGGCCTTGAGACCAGCTTGAACCAGGTTCCTGCAGGAAACGGGAGGACATGGAAGGCCTTCAATCTCACCAGTGTCAATCAGTGGGCACCCACCCCATTGTGCTATGCTCAGTGCACAAGTAGCAACATACAACCTCAGCGGGCAGAGATTACCGTCTACCGTAAGTCCCATCTCAGGATGTTTTCTGGGTTGGCTATGACACAACACACTATCGTGGATAACTAGCCATGGTGGCTTGTCACGTCATAGAAGGGTAGAGTTGGAAAGGGCTGATAAGGCAATCCAGTCCAACCCCTTGCTCAGTACAGGCCTCCAAGCGAACATATCCCTGACCAAGGGCTGCCAGCTGTCCAACTGGGAGACACCACGGCCTCCCCAGGTAACTGGTTCCATTGCTGTACTAACAGTCAGGAAGTTTTATGTCCAGCTAGAATCTGGTTTCATCCAAGCCTGGCCTGCTTTGTCCATGGCAGCTTGTTTATTTAAAAAAAGTCACCCTGAGAACCCATGGCCTTCTCTAGGGTTTATGTTATCCACAGTAAATTGTCATGTCATCCAAACCTGAACAGCCAATTTCATCATAGCAAAAAGCTACCCTTGCCATTCTTGGCACGCTCACCCATAAGCCATCATTGTGAGGCTCTGTGGGGAGGGTGGGACCCCTCTCTCTGACAGCCTGACTGCGGGCTGAGTTCAGCTCACAGTGGCTGACAGAGTTGCAATGGGACTCATGCCCTCAAGCAGATGGGGGTACTGGGGGAGCACCCCGCCTCCAGCTGCAGGGGATCTCCCGCTGCCGCCTCCACTGCATGCTGCTGCCCCATCCTCAGGGCTGGAGCTGGGCTGCAGCAGCTGTCTGGGACTCAGCAGCACGGGCAGGAGCTGGAGTGTGCCTGGTGGGGATGACTGGGGCATCCCCACTCAGCCGTGGAGCCACACCTGGCTCCCGCCTTGGCGTAAGGGGCTCAGGCTGCACCGGTGATGGGAAGGTGTGTGTGCTTCTGGGCTGCCCGGTCTGGGGCCATCTCACGGAATGGATGCCTGGACGCCTTACTGCAGGGCAAGTGCAGCAAGGCAGGAGGTGAGCTGGGTGAGGCTGCCTTGACAACTGAGCAGCTCCGCTGAGCCCCTCTCCCGCTTCCTTGCTGCTGCTTGGGAGGAAGCAGCTCGGGAAGGCGACTGCAGCAGCTGTCACCCAAGCAGGAGCAAGAAATGGTAGGCACCCTTGCCCCTTTCTTCCGCCAGGCTGATTCTCCCCTCTTCCGCTTGGCCTAGGGGCTTTTCTCTCTCGGGGGAGAGTGTGGGGGAGAGGGGCACTCCTGCCGAGAGGGCCATTGTCCCTCTTCCTGTGGGAGGGGAAGCCTCTCAGGTGAAAGTGGGGAGGCAATCAGCTAGGAATCTCTGCCCCAAAAAGAACTGCGGCAGGAGGAGACAGGATGCTTCTGACAACTGTGCAAAATTGGGACAGTGGTCAGCTGTGCTCTGGCTAGTTGCTTGGCGAGAGGGCCAACTGCTGCTCTTGCCAAGTGGCTGTCTTGTTCTGGAGCTTCCACTATGATGGGTTGTGTGGTCTGAGTTCAAACAACACAACAAGCAATCATCACATTGACAACCATGATAATGCACAATGGCTGATCACCACGATTGGGTTTGGAGAACACGACAAATAACTATTTTTTTTTAATTGTTGGTTGTGCTGTGCAAGCTCAGTCAGAAAGTCCATTCTTTTTCTCTTTCATCACCTGTTAATGATACTAATCATTAATTGCCACATTTTTTCTGTTCCAGAAGCTCCAAAGCATGTAGTGCTGGACCCGGTGCCAGAAATGGAGGTGGGCAAGCCGTACAACTTAACCTGCCGGGTTTCCAGTGTTGCCCCCATCCGGAACCTCATTGTGACCTTGCTCAAAGGGGGAGAAGAGCTTTTGGTGGAGACATTTGAGAATCACACTGTACCTGCAGCTACCGATGCCCTGGTGACCCATCAGATAATTGCTCAGCAGGATGATCACAGGGCAGAAATCACCTGCCATGCAGCACTAGATCTGAGACCGGAAGGGCCACTCTTTGAAAGGGCATCTGACAACGAATCACTGGTGTCTGTTGGTGAGTTTGTGCTTACTGCTCCAGTCCCCTTGTGGAAAACTTGTAACAGGCCAATGAGCATAAATCCACTCACAAATGTTTCATGATGCACACTTTTTGCAACTGTAGGGGTGATTTTCCCCACATGGGTTATTCAATTTCTCTGGCACTTCTCAAAAAGCAATCCCTTTTGGTTCCAGTTCTCCCTCCAACATGGAAATAGTTCCATGTATTACTGAAGTGCAGCAGTTCCTTGCAAGGTGCAAAGAACCGAGAGCTGATTTGCAAATTGTTTTCATGCTTGTGCTTCTAATTTTTCCATTGCTCCATCCAGAGAAGGCAGCAAGTGCTCAGCAGTACTCTGCAAGTACTTGAACACATTTATGCCTACCTGAGCTGGGTTTTGCAGGTGTTTTTATCTCCTTGGATTTGTTCCTTAAGACTTTTTGGACTTCTGTGCATGCTCCACCCAGGTTGATTCATCACTTTTGCTTCTCAGCGGAACAGTTTGACTCCATTTCTGTTGGCACCTGCACTCACCAACTGCTATCTGAGGAAGTTCTTATCTTGACTGCGCTTGCTCTTTAGATAACTGGCATGGTTCTGTTATTGTCTTGACAGTTTTTTCCTCGGATCCCCACCTGGAAGCCCCGCTTGTCATGGAGACCAATACCACGATGGCTGTCCACTGCCATGTGTCTGGAGTTTTCCCAGCTGAGGAGGCCCAGTTTGATTTGCAGTTTGCAGGGAAGAGCTGGAACCTCAGCACAAGTGTGTCGGGGTCCAGTGTGAGCGCGCAGGCCCTGGTGTCTTCCTCGTCCACAGGAGAACACACGCTGCTCTGCACAGTCTCTCTGGGGCGAGTGAGCCGAAGGGTTGAGAAGACAGTGAATGTGTACAGTGAGTATCAACTGTGTTTTGTTCATTTTTCCATCCAGTCAGACAAGAAGAGAGCTGAAATTTGAACTTGCCTTCATTTTGACAGCAAAAGCCACAATAATGGCTGGCTTCAAACTTAGTTGAACTTGGTCCTGTTTGCCATTGATGGGACTTGTCCCATGGCTATTTTCATTGGGTCCTGTGTTCAGCAAACCTTGCCTGGATCCAGTCCATGCCCCTGAGCAAGATCATGTGCAGAGGAATGGAATGTGATGAATAAGGGCACTGAAGCTACTCAGGTTGAGGGTAGCACTTGGAAGTGCTCCATCACAAAGTACAAATGAGTTGGCATAGATGTAAAAGTGCTCTTCACTGACATTCCCAACTCACAGGAACCACTGCAAACTCCCACTCTCTACCCCCTAGATGCTTTGTCACACTATGCGCGAGTGCGTGTGTGCACACACACACACACACACACACAAAGAAAAATGCATTTGAAATTGCATGTTGAATTGTGGGGTGTGGAGTTTGAACTGAGAACTGTGTTGGGACACTGGGATGGACAAATCCCGGTGAATAGCTAAATTTCAACATGTACAGTAATCCATGCTGTCAAATTCCATCAGAATTTGCAAAGCTCACAATTCCTGAAGCTTCCCTAATTTATAACCCCCACCCTATGCCTGAATGCACCCAAGGTAACCTGCAAATGCACAGAGTGTATTTATTTCCTTCCATCCATCCCCATTCATCAGTGTCGTGATGGGGCAATACTTCCTCATTCACCATGGGCCTGAATGGCCTGTCATTCGGAAAACAGTGCCTGAGAGGGATGCAAGTGGCTAACCTGCTCTCCATAACAGGAGAGCAGAAGACTGGATATTTGGCTTATGGTTGTGAAGAAGCTCTGTGGGATCTGTCCCTAGTGTCCACAGACATCCTCTTGGTCTTGGCTCAGGCATGCTAAGCCACCCAAGCCAAGAAGAAATTCTCGGAACACAGTTTGTTCAACTGGCAATGTTCTTCCGTGTCACACGCAGCAGCCTCTGTCTCTGTGAAAAAGAGATGTGAAAGAATCACACAGTGCTCAGTTCTCAGAGGACGATGGGTGCACCTCCCAGGGACCGAGATTCACAGCAGTGGGAATGCTGAAAGGAGCCCAGGAAACCAAGCCCAGGGAATCTGTCAGAATCCCATCCCCAAAACAGATTCCTTGCACATCCCTAATTTCATTAGCAGTCTTGAAAGCATTCTTCCAGGGGATGGAGTCAGGCCAACTTTTCCATGCCAAGAAGCAGTGCAGTGAGCATGTGTTAGGGGAATAACAAATGCCTGGGATGTCCTTCCACTTTGTGTATCGTGGTCCTCCAGCTGTTGTAGGTCTGTAACTCCCATCACCTGTGACCATTTGTCATGCAGGTTTGGACTGCTGGGACTTGAAATCCAACCATATGTGAAGGGCCCAGGGCCCTCACCCCAGTCTAAATGGGTAAAACTTATCTATCCCATTGTTTCTATGAAGGCCACCTGCAGGGCGGAAAGCAATGTTGTATTTTCCCACCTGTGCTTGTTCTCCAGTATCTCTTATTTTGCACAGCACAGATATACTGCCTCTGAACATGGGGGCTCTATTTAATAACCATATTACCATCTGACTTAGGACCTTATTTCAGAGGCACCTTAGTTAACTTGACAAGTAGTATTCTGTATCTTACTATGAATAGTGGTTCAAACAAATGAGATGTGCAATGACTGGTCTGCTCTATTCTCTTGCAGGTTTGCCCAAACCCATCCTGGGCATTGATCAACCAAAGATCCTCGTCAATCAAAGTGTGCTCATTACTTGCAGGTGTAATGAGACGGGCTGCTCTGGTACTGTAATGCATCTCAGCGATGGCAAGCACCTATTAGTAAATGGACACCCTCCTTTCTTGCAATATGCACTGACAACTCGCAAAGAGGATGATGGGAGAGAATTCACATGTCAAGTAGCACGAATGGTTGATGGACATCCAGTTGCAAAAGAGACCTTGGTATACCTCACTGTCTTCTGTGAGTAGGAAATAGTTCGGGCAGTATTTTATTCATAGAGATTGTTGTTGTTAGTCGCGAATGGGCGTCTGACCCATCGACTTGGGCTATTCTACATGAGGCTTTGAACTTGCCACTTTTCTGTGGCTTCTCCTTCTAGATTCTTTGTGGGATTAAGATCACCCCCTTTACATGTTATTTTATCTCGGGGGGCATCCTCAGGGTTGTGAAAAAGCAGAATTGCAAAAATAAATATTTCTTCGGGCCATTTCCAAATAATAGCATACTTCCTACACCTAAAAAGAGCTGTGGGAGAGGGCGTGGAAAATGGTGATGTGGTGTGAAGCATCCACACCCTACTGTGAGGTAGGAAATTTTGCTAGTTGCGAAGTCACGTCCGACCCTTCGTGACCCCATGGACAACACTTCTCCAGGCCTTCCTGTCCTTCACCATCCCTTGGAGTCCACTTAAGCTCACACTGACTGCTTCAGTGACTCCATCTAGCCACCTCATTCTCTGCCGTCCCCTTCTTCTTTTACCGTCAGTTGTTCCCAGCATTAGGCTCTTCTCCAGGGAGTCCTTCCTTCTCATTAGGTGACCAAAGTATTTGAGGTTCATCTTCAGTATCTGGCCTTCTAAAGAGCAGTCAGGGTTGATCTCCTCTAGGACTGACTGGTTTGATCGCCTTGCAGTCCAAGGGACTCCCAGGAGTCTCCTCCAGCACCACAATTCAAAGGCCTCAATTCTTTGGCGCTCAGCCTTCCTTATGGTCCAGCTTTCACAGCCAAACATTGCAACTGGGAAAACCATAGCCTTGACTATATGCACTTTTGTTGGCAGGGTGATGTCTCTGCTTTTTAGTAAGCTGCCTAGATTTGCCATAGCATTTCTCCCCAGGAGCAAGCGTCTTTTAATTTCTTGGCTGCATTTCCCGTCTGCGGTGATCTTGCAACCCAGGAAAATAAAATGTCATCACCTCAATTTCTTCCCCATCTATCTGTCAGGAAGTGATAGGACCGGATGCCATGATCTTAGTCTTCTTAATTTTGAGTTTCAAGCCAGCTTTTGCGCTCTCCTCTTTCACCCGTATTAAGAGGCCCTTTAGTTCCTCTTCACTTTCTGCCATTAGAATGGTATCATCTGCATATCTGAGGTTGTTGATATTTCTCCCAGCAATCTTAATTCCAACTGGTGATTCACCTAGCCCCGCCTTTCTCATGATGTGCTCTGCATATAAGTTAAATAGGCAGGGCGACAGTATACAGCCTTGCCGAACTCCTTTCTCAATTCTGAACCAATCAGTGGTTCCATGCCCAGTTCTTAACCTCCATATAGGTTTCTCAAGAGACAAATAAGATGGTCTGGTACTCCCTTCCCTTTAAGAACTTGCCACAATTTGTTGTGATCCACACAATCAAAGGCTTTAGCATAGTCAGTGAAGCTGAAGTAGATGTTTTTCTGGAACTCCCTAGCTTTCTCCATGATCCAGCGTATGTTGGCAATTTGATCTTTAGTTCCTCTGCCTCTTTGAAATCCTGCCTGTACTTCTGATAGTTCTCAGTCCACATACTGCAGGAGCCTAGCTTGTAGGATTTTGAGCATGACTTCGCTACCATGTGAAATGAGGGCAATGGTGCGGTAGTTTGAACATTCTTTGGCATTGCCCTTCCTTGGGATCAGAATGTAAACTGACCTTTTCCAATCCTGTGGCCACTGTTGAGTTTTCCAAATTTGCTGGCATATTGAGTGCAGCACTTTTACTGCACCGTCTTTTAGGATTTTGAATAGCTGAGCTGGAATACTGTCGCCTCCACTAGCTTTGTTGTTGCTCAGACTTCCTAAGGCCCATTTGACTTCACATTCCAGGATGTCTGGCTCGAGGTCAGTGGCCACTCCATCGTGGTTATCAGGGACTTGAAGCTCTTCCTTGTATAGTTCTGTGTAATCCTGCCACCTCTTCTTAATCTCTTCTGCCTCTGTTAGGTCCCTGCCATTTTGGTGCTTTATCATGCCCATCTTTGCATGAAACGTTCCCTTTATATCTCCAATTTTCTTGAAGAGATCTCTGGTCTTCCCTATTCTATTGTTTTCTTCTAGAGATACAACACTGTTAATATAGTCCCAATGCCCACAGCCAGCTCACAACACCGTTGTAGAGCTTGTCCGTATTTCTGCAGTATCATGGGACTTGGGTGCAAGGAAAGGCTGGCTGTGCCAAAGAGGAAGGCAAGCTGTATGCTAATCAAAGCTAGCAGGAGCATCTGCTTGAGTGTGAGCCCTGCTGCCCTACAGCTGTGTCCACATAGTATTCCCCCCTCCACACACAAACAGCTTCTCACCCCACCCTGAAAAGCACTACATGCACCATGCACTACGCCTGGCACTGCCCACTCTCTAACTGCACAGACATGTGTCTATACATTTATGCACATAGCTAGCTTGCAGCAATGCACTAGGGGCTCTGAGAGTGGCTTGTGAGGGAAGGATCTGCATCATGGCCCTGTCTACCACCCCCACATCTCTTTGCCAGGCAGGCAGGAAGGCCTGAGGGACACTAACATGGCTACTGCTGGAAGTGGGCTGGTATCCATGCTGGGATGGAGGCTGTACCAGTGGAACCTTCACAAATAGTTCTGCCAGGTCTACTGGGAAACTGGTGTGGATCTCCTGCACCTCATGCCCAGCTGCAGGGTTGACAGTTTCAGGGCGAGGGCAGGGGGAAGGTGACAGTGGGGCTTGTTGACAGTCCCAAGGAATGCAAGGGATGAAATAGGAGCAGAGGAGATGGCGTTTGGGGACAATCTCCCTGTTGCAACGCCCCACATATAGCCCATGAGCCCACTTCTGTAGCTGCAAGTTTGTGGAGAGGGCCGAGATGCTTCTGCCAGAAAAGCAGTGGCAGAGCATCTCATGAGTGGTGTTTGTGTGAACTACAGCAATCAGATAGGCGCACCAAACATGGATGTCTCCAAGGTTGCTCCTGCAGGTGGCACGACATGCTTTTCTGCTGCCAGCAGTATTGTGAAACCACAGCTGGGCATCTGGAGGACAGCAGAAAAGTAAGAGGTGGAGGAGAGCACGGAGAAGCCAATTGGAGCATAGCTGGAACTGGTGCATCACTTGCTAGGCAGTTCTGGGTGGAGGAGGATGCAGGGAGGAGTGTCTCCTCCAGCAGCGGCCACTGTTTCCAACAGACTGTATGGTAGCCACATGGACATCATATTTCTGGGGTCACATGACAAAATAAATCATGGTGAAGCATGAAACCCATACCACATACTACTGTTTCTCTCCAAGGTTCCTATGGAACATGACTTCTATGTACCTTCCAGGGTGTGCTATAGATCCAGTGCACCCTACCTGAGTTGTGTATAATTTCCAACTCTGCTTCAGCTTTGTATGCTGGAATAGGATGCTGTCATTTCTTCATGCTGTTGCTTTCTTCATTCTAGATGGGCCCCAGATGAATGACTCCAGCTGCCCTACTAAGTTGACCTGGACAGAGGATAGTGAAGAGACTCTTACCTGTTCTGCCCAGGGAAACCCACCACCAACTGTTGAATGCAAGAAAGGTGACACGTCTTACAATATTGGGGTCCAGCAGCGTGTCCAGAGAGAGCATGGTGGCATATATCACTGCAGAGCCACCAACGATTATGGCCATGAAGTTAGAAATGTGACCATAGAAGTTAAATGTAAGTTAACCTTTTTTTAAAAAAAACAAAGGAATTGTTGGACTTGCAAATAAGGTTCCTTTTCAATTTGCTATGCTGTGACACAGGTCCAAATTATGAGTTATAAACTTACCCCAAATAATCACAGATAAAAATCCTGGCCAGTGACCCAGCTCAGCCTGATTTACAGTTTACTGTTTTCAACTGTTGCTCAGTCCTGAAGATGAAGAAAGATTTCTAATGACACGCAGGTGTGAATTGTGAAACTGTAAAGAGGCCTGTCTGGATTTGGACCAGGATGATGCTCAGATCTCACCTCAACTATGGGTTTGCTGAGTAGCCTTTGTCAGGTGACAACACTGAGGGAACCTACTCTCAGCTTCAAAAGTCAAGCACTTCTGGGTCAGATTAACTGTGTGCACCCTATCTGTCATGGGTGTACACACACACCTTTTTGGCTGTAAGGCATGCAGGTAATACCAGCTCAGGATCTGGGACTGATGCATATACACACACATGTGCAGTGAGCAAAGAAGGATCTGTTTCTGGATCGCTGGGGGAGGGAACCTGGCAGTGGCAAGGAATCAGGGCACCCTTGGGAGGGTGCATTTCTGGCCATGAGAGAGCATGAGATGTGCACCCCTGCTGTAGGATTTTTTTTTTCAATTTTGTTGATGATAAAAGATACATATAAGGTAAGATACATTGGAAAGAAAGAATAGGAAAAAGGATAGCAAGGGATATTACACAAATATAGCATATAATTTCAGTATCTAACAAATTGACAAAAAGGCAAAAAATTCTGTCTGTTCATGTCACATTAAGTTATTCAATTCTTGATCAAGGTTCTCATACAGATTAATGATTTATAAAATTAATTGTAGAAAATATCATAGCTTTAGTGTTAGAGTAAAAATCACTGACCATATTTTTAGAGAGTCTGTTTTCTTAAACATCAGTTAAATTGCTTGTAGTAAGCTTTCCATTTTTCATAAAATTCTTTGGTTAATTTTGCCACTGCTGCAAACTCAACTAGCTTGTTTTTCCAGTCTTCAATAGTTAAACAATCTTGCTGCTATTATCATATATTTAAATAACTCTGGCATAATATTTGAAGGAGTCTCTAGCAGGATACTCAGTAGCATTCTCTCAGCATTTGTAGGAAAGTCAAGTTTAAGAATTTTCTGCATTTATCTTTTGATTTTATCACATGTCCACCACATATGGTAAAAAGTTCCATCTGTTTCTTTACATTTCCAACATTTTCTGTTGTAATGCTTATCCATTTTCTGTATACCTTTCAGGGTAATATACCACCAAAAGTACATCTTATGCCAATTTTCTCTTAATGCTTGACTAGCAGTAATTTTATATCCTTTGTCCATAGGATTTCCCATTGATAGAATATTTCCTCTTCAAAATTCTGTATCCAGCTCATCATGCATGTTTTGACTTGTTGAGTTTTAGTATCATATTAGAACACTTGTATATAGATTCATTTTAGCAGTTGATTTTTTATGCTTATCATCTGAAAATCTATTAGATTTCTTACTATACTTTTTCCTGTCTGGGTTTCCTTTTTGACCCTTGAGACCGATTTAAGATGACTGATGTGTGTCGAAGTATTTATTAATCTGAGTGGGGTTTTAATATAGACAATCCTTTATGTATTTTTTCTTTTTTTAAATCCATGTATTTATTCAATGGAGCTGGTCTTTGACCGCAGTATAGTTTTATCTGTCTGTCTGTCTGTATGTCTGTCGACTCTTGAGACCGGTTGATAATAGAGAAAACATTTTGTATTTTTTCCTTTTCATTCTTGCTAAGGCTTGATTTGTCCTTGTTGATCAACTTCTCCATATGTTATAAGATCATTATTTTTCCTTAAATATTTTCCATGGTATGCTTCTATTGTAGTCATCAAAGTAGAAATTGGAGAGATAATTCTTCTTCTCATGGAATACCAAATTTTTGTTAAACTGTCTTTGCTATAGGGAATGTTATTTGTTCTGAACCCCTTCAACTCTTTTGAAAGATGGCCTGTGTACCCTATCAGTGGAGTCAACTCTCCTTATGCTGAATCCTATGGCCCCTATAATGAACCAAAAGCACAAGTTATATTAAAATACTCTAAATCCTGCTTTTCAGGTTGTACATGCATGCAACTGTGAGCTTCGTTGCCTTATGCTATCAACTTTCTTAAAGCACTGGGAGTATTCAGGAAGAGATGAATTTTGGAGGATTAGGCAAGCCAATTGCTCAAGCAGCAACTTAGTTTTGGGAATCAGCAGAGCGTTTGAAGCCTGGGAAAGAGGTAGAGACCCTCACAATGCTCTTATGGTGTGTTCCCTGGCCAAAGCCCATCTATTGGAGCATTCGGCATTTAGCAACTTGCATGAATTATCTTTCATCCATGAGGGCTAGAATGTTCAACTTTCCAAAACAAAAGGATGTGAGCTTCATTGTGGTCTCTGTGCATCACACACACATGGGCTTAAGCAACAGCAGAAGGCTTTGGTTGGAAGAGACTTCTACAGCTCGGTGTAACGGAGCGGGCAGGGTTGCCCATCCCCTCTGGAATCCTGCTATAAAGTGGGGGATGGGATTCTTCCTTGTCGACTGCACACTGCTTAGGTTTGATTCACTTCTTGCTTCCTTCTTTTTCTCTCTCATCTTAAAAAAAAAAGTTCACTCTTCTTGTTTTTCTTTGTCCTCCTTTTCACAATGGCCTACTGGCCCTCTGCTACAACTGTCGAGGAGCTCCTGACTGCAGAAGAGGGCCAGGAAGATGGCCCCTGGACTCGCTGCAACCATGGTCCCCTGAGTCACTGGAAAGAGCACCCAGCTGGCCAGTTGGCTGGCTGTCGCTGCGGCCTCCCTTCGGGCACCTCCGTGAGCCTTAGCTCCAGGTGCCATGGCCTGCTGCCACTGCTGCCGTGGCCTGCCGAAGAGCACTGACACCATGAGCCTTATCTTTGGGCACTGCTGCAAGCCTTACCTCTGGCCACCACCACTGCGGCCTGCCTCTGGGCACAGGTACTGCCACTGCAGCCTACCTCCGGCCATCGCCACCACCAAGGCCTTCCTCCAGGTACTGCCACATCTGCGGCCTACTGCCCACCACCAGCCTGCCCTACCTCCAGGTGGCACCACCCCTATGGCCTAATTGTATGCACCGCCACTGTGGTCTACCCTTGGCCGCCACTGTGGCCTGCAGCCCTCCGTTGCCACAGCCCATCCCTGACTGCCACTGCCATTGTGGTCTGCTGCCTGCCACCACCTTGGCTCACCCCATGTGCCACACTTGTGGCCCGTTACCTGCCACTGTCAACCTATGCCAGGCCTTGTCACTGACGTGGCCCTGCTCTGGCCTGCTCCCCGGCACCTCTGTGGCCCCATGAACCATTGCAAGGCCAGTGCATGCACCCTCTGCTCATGCGGCTTGTTCATGTGCTCATTGCCATTGCACTGGTTCCCAGTCACAACCTTACTGGTTCTTCTGCTTGTCACCATCACTGAGAGCACCTGGCCATCCCTCTGGCCTTCCTCAGTGCAGCCAAGACCAAGGTGATGTCATGAGACTCCTGGTGCCAATGCAGGGGGCTGGCTGTGCATGCTCAGAGTGATGCTCGGTCGATCTTCGCGCAATGTCAGCTGGTCTACCAATGTAGAGGCCTCACCACTGTCACAGGCTCAGTCTACCAATGCCGAGGGACAGACTTTGTCCCTGACTGATCTACCAATGCAGAGAGACAGTGCAGAGACAACAGAGCAGCTACTGGCTCTATCTGGGCAGCCTCCCTCACTTGCTCCGATTTCTCAGACTACCCAGCCACCCCCTCCTGGCCATAGCGTTGAGTCTGATGCCTCCCCACAGTCGCTCATACTTACAGCACCGCAGGTGGAGGTAGAGGCAGCACCGCGCAAGGGAGCCGCATTGGGTCTCCACGAACCCGAGCAGGAGTCTCTCTCTGTACCCCTACTACTCCACGTTTATCTCCGGGTCCATGAAAGTGATCCTCACACAGCCTGAATTGCAGGGCGCTCTGTTCCTCCCGTGCCTAGCCTCCTGGCTTCGTGCTACCCGCTGACGACCGTACTGCTCGTGCCGCCCTTCGTGCACTGTATGGTGGGAAAAGGAAGTGCTCCTGTTCCCCCACAGGCACTGCACATGAGTTCCCTATTCCATTTGCCCAGTCTGGACGATGTAGGTTTCAGCCTCACCGCATGCCCAAGCACACATTCCACCCACTCCTGGACCACCTTGGCCACCCCTTGCCACACCCAGATGCACAGCACCTCGAGGGCCACCATGTGGTCCATGCCCTCAACTTCTGGCTGCCCCACTGTCTTGATACCCTTGCAAGGCAAGCCTCCTCTTGGCTGGGCGCTCCTCTCATCATTCCTACAGCAACGACAGCCCTTCCATCCTACCTGGGTAAGCTTGCCAGTCATCTATATGTGTGTGATGCACAGAGACCACGATGAAGAAAGACAGGTTGCTTACTTGTGACCATCGTTCTTTGAGGGGTCATCTGTGTGTTCACAGAACCCACCCTCTGCCCTGCTAGCTGTCATCAGCCAGCATGCACTGTGCTAACGCCTCTGTCCATTTGAATGCCTGGGGATGGTGCGGTCTCCAAGGCACTGAGGGACTGGGTGCCCCCCAGCCCCCTTAGCAGGACTCCAGAGGGGACGGGTGGCCCCGCCCACTCCAGGACGCTGAGCTGTAGAGGTTTCTGCCAACCTAGGCCTTCTGCTGTTGCTTAAGCCCGTATGTGTGAATACACAGATGACCACTTGAACGATGGTTACAGGTAAGCAACCTGCCTTTTCTCTGCAAATGTCTTGTTCAGATTGCAGAACTGCAACTCTGTAGAATTCTTAGGCATCTAATTTTAACTTGTTTGTCTTTTCATTTCACAGTTTTCCAGCGCAACGTTCATATAATAATAATCGCAGCAGTTATTTTTTGTGTAATTATTGTGGCCGTTATTCTAGTCTTATCACATAAACAATCCAAGAAGAGAGACAAATACAATGTAAAGAGGAAATGGCAATCATGCAGCTACCCTTTGGAGCCAATACAACCGAATGGCAATGTGCAGATGGTTGATGAGAATGAGCCAAATAATGAAGAGGAACACAGACCTATGCAGGCAAACCAAGCTGATCTCAGCTAGCTGGGGGCAGAGAGCATTCTGCAGAAGCAGAGCTACAGATGGGCAGTATTCCAGTTGGACTTGTCTTGGAGGATTATTTGGAAAGCGATGGTGGTTAAACTTTCAGGCAGTGACTGGTAACCTTCACTATGAAGACGCCCACCCAGAGAGATGGGCTCAGAGACTTGGGCCACGTGTCTTCTTGTTAAGGCCTCCTCTTCTATCCAGGGCTGCCCTCCAGATGCTTAGCTGAAGAGGTGACTGGACAGCTCTGGAAGGCTTAAAAGAGACCTGACAGCTTTCACTAACTCAAAGACCAACCAAAGACCAAACCTCTTCTGGCTTCTATGATCTACAGCAGGAACCCTGGATGGTTTTCTAGTTTTGTCTCCTGGTATGAAAACTTGGGATTGTCTTATGCAAAAATACGATGTGTCATATAACTTTGAACTGACTGGAATTAATGAACCTGAATGCCAACATAATACTTTTCCTAAGCAGAAGAGCTCCTGAGCATTGAAATGGGCTGGTATAAAGGAAAGGCAGAGAACATCATCCTCTATCGGTGAAGAATATTTCTTTAAAACAGGAATGCTGCATTGTGTGGTTGTGTGTGCCTAGGTTTTCCATGCCCCTGCTGGTTAAAAGCATCAGAACCAGTTGGCAAAATGGTGCAGAGTCACATGCATATGTGAAGACACCCACCTGAGGCATTTAATTTTTTATGTCTGTATGTAACACATGTGAAATTGTTAGAATAGGAAGAAAACTGTATCACAGAACTTGTCTTATTGGAAAACTCCTTGACTCCAATATTCTACGTAATAATTTGCCATACTTTGAGATTGCATTCTGGATGCTGAGCACCCACACAACCATTTAGTTAAAGGAACTGCAAATTATTTTTCATGCAGCTTCCCAAATGTGATTATTTTTTTTCTTCTAAACCGAGCAAGTCTTTCTAATTCTGTCTTGCACATAATGGTTTTACATTCATGCTTTATGGCAGGAAGAGTAACAGCAACTTCTTAATATGTGAGACCACAACAGGGTCAATGAGAAACAAGAGGGAAGAAATTCTTTCAAAGACCTAAAGAGCTTGAGGCCACATTATGTGAAGGGACATCTCCCATAAATACCTACGCTCAGCGGTTCTGCTCCAGGAGCCCCTGCCAAAGCAAGTGACTCATATGAAGAGAGCCTTGGAATTGTGGAGCCCCAGTTGTGCAATGAGCTTTCCAGAGAAGCTAATGGTGCCTACAGGGTACTCTTTCTGGCATCAGGTTAATCTTCCCAGGGATTTTGGTCTTTGGTTTCTGGTTTAATTGTTATTGTATTTTAATTTTTGTACTGTTCTACTTCTGTTCTTTACTGCAGTTTTAGACATTAGAACCTTTTATGTTGTATTTTATGGTTTTAAATTTTTTTGAACTGCCAAGAGTAATTTGGTCACTAGGTGACATAGAAATAAAATGGATAGATAAATAAGAATCTGCAGGTTTGGGAAGACCACAGGGCTTGCAGAAGCATAAATTATTTAAAATTTAAGGGGGCAACTCCTCAGAAGTGTCAGATGAAAAAAACAAAAGAGATAACCTGAATAGAAATGGAAAGGTGCATCAGGAAAAGGGGGTCTCTAGCTAGCTGACTTGGACTCTGAACAGCGGCATCCTTGCCAGAAGACCATTGGTGCAGGTGGAAAGCATCTGGTCTGGCCCTCCAGCAGCCTTGTGCAACAACCAACTGGCAGGCCTGCTGCTGCAGAGGACAGAGACTCTGCCTGGCACCCTACATCCAGGGCTGGTGAGGGGCTTGGGGACTGGTGAGGAAGAGGATGTCTGGCCCTTTGACATCTTTGTGCCCAGCTTGCTCCCCCCCCCCCCCCCCCCCCCCGGTGTTTTAGCCGCCTTGGCTGCCTTGCCAGAAGACTGTGGTGCAGCAGGAAGCACTTGGCTTGGCTCTCCAACAGTTGCTGTTTGAGAATATTGACCAAAATAGGTCCATGTCCTGGTGTGCAAAATGCCCAAATTAAAGACTGCAGTTTCTGCACCCTTGCTCTTGGCTTGGTCAAGGCTAAGATCACAGCCCCGTTTTTGTGCACCTGCTGATGGACCTATTAGAATGGTCCGCCCCCAAAGACATACGGATGCAATAGGGTTCCAGTCAGCCCTAGGGGATTCTTCAGCCAGCTCTGCCAGTAATTCTGTCCTGTCCTGTCCCTGGCCACATTGAAAAACCACCTGCTCTCTCGATCCATGTCTATCTCGGCTGGTGGTCCAGGGGTGGAAACACTGAGGGAGCTATTATCAATCAATGTCTCCTTTAGAGAGGCTAAGGGTTCCTGCTTGCCTGGAGGAGGTTATTGTACAGCCCCTCCTCAAGAAACCAAATTTGAACCCTCTGGACTCTTAACAGTTTTCTTCGTGAGGTGGTTGAGAGGGCAGTATCTCTCCAGCTCCAGATGGTCCTGAGTGATAGTGGTTTTCTGGACCCATCTCAAACTGGCTTCAGAGCAGAACATGGAGCTGAGACTGCTTTGGTTGCTCTAATGGATGATCTACAGCTAAGAATTGACAGTGGGAGTTTGTCATTGTTGGTTCTGTGGGATCTCTCAGTGGCCTTCAATACTACCAACCATAGTATCCTTCTAGATTGTCTGAGGGACTTGTGAATCGGAGGCACTGCTTTGCAGCAGTTCCATTTCTACCTTTCAGGTCGGTTCCAGTTTGTGATGTTTGGAGACTGTTGCTCCTCTAAAAAGGAGCTGACTTGCTGAGTCCCGCAGGGCTCTGTTCTGTCTCCTATAACATCTACATGAAACTGCTAGGAGAGATCATCCGGGGGAGTGGTGCTGGATATTATCAGTATGCTGACGACACCCAGATCTACTTCTTACCACCATCTGCTGCTGCTTCTAGAGATGGCACCTCTCTGAATTACTGCCTGAAGCTGGTGATGGGCTGAATGAGGAAAAACAAACTGATGTTGAATCCAGACAGAACAGGTACTTGCTGTTAAGGGTCCAAATCCAGAGTAGAGGTGTGTTAACTAGAGGTGTGTTACACTCCTCCTGAAAGACTGTGTTCCAGTCTGGGGCACTACTTCACCCAGCCCTTCAGATGTCAGTTCAGGTAGACACCATGGCCAGGAGTGTCTGCTATAAGCTTCAGCTGATTCGCCAACTGCACCCCCTCCTGGAGAAGAATAACTTGTAAACGGTAGTGTATGCATTGGTAAGTTCTAGGCTGTATTTCTGCAATGCACTCTGCATGTACTCCTTGTGCCTACTCAAAAACTACAACTAGTACCATGGAGAAACCACATATCACCTATTTTAAAGTTTTTGTACTGGCCGCCTATATGCGTCTGGATGCAATACAAGATGTTGGTAATTATTTTTAAAGCCCTTCCTGGCTTGGGTCCAAAATATCTTCAGGCGTGCCTTTGCCCATACATTCGATCTTGTTAGCTAAGGTCCCCTGGGGATAATCTTCTCAAGTTGGCTTCTATAAGATTAATGTCAGCTACCCAGAGGACTTTTTCAGTGGTTGCCCCTAAGCTATGGAATGGTTTGCAGGGACAGATGCATCTGATTTCCCAAATTCCTGCCTTTAAGAGGTAGTTAAAAACATACATCTTCCAACAATTCTACCCAAATTAGTTCTCATACCAGTTTTATTTAATAGGTTGTATTAATATTACTCCATGTTGGTTCAATTTCTTGTAAACTGCTGTCACGGCTCAGGGTGTGGGCAGCTGGGTATCAGATCAGGGCACCAGGATCCAGGCAACCAGTACACTATGAGGGCCTATTCCAAATCACACTCAAGCAGTCCAGAGCAGGCCAGTAACAGAAGTACAAAGTCAGTCCAAATAGCAAAGAGTAGTCAAAGCTGGTCAGGAGTCAAAAGGCAGGAAGGCAAACAGGAGAAGCAGGTACCTGGGATTGGAGCAGAAGGTGTAGCAGGTGAAGACTGGGAAGCAGGAGCAAGGTGGCACTGTTTCTAGAAACAGCTTCTAGAAGGCACATAGAAATCCAACAACCTAAAAAAACCTCTTTATTACTAAAGCCACATCTGGAGGGAAGAGCCGGTTCTTATATAGCTTTTTCCTCAGGGCTCCCAGGTGGTGCTTGTAGCAGTCCAGGTGGCCACAATTGACTGTGAGCCCAGTCCTGCAACTACCAGGGCTGCTCTTCTGGTCTCTGGCCAGAGGAGGGAGTCCTGATGCTGCCTCGGAACCTCACAACTGCCCAGAGCCTCTGGAACGGTGGTATAGAAATATTCAGAGGAATTTTGAAAAGTGAGTATACAACTTTTTCAGTCAGTATGCAAACCATTTCCCTCAAGAGAGCCCATCCAGAGAGATGGGATTGGACACTTGGGCCTTCCTATGTTTCTATTTTAAGTTGTTGGGTTTTTCTACATGAGGCTTTTAGCCCACTGTTTAGTGCAATTCTTTGTGCAATTCTTTGCACAATTAAGATTGACTCCTTTATACCCATTTTACCCCCAAGGGAATTCTTTTCTCTGCTTTTCCATATGTTCCACTACATGACACAGTAGGTGGTGCTACGATATAGCAGAATTACACGAGAACATGAACATTTTAGCACATGTCCAAATAATACTTCACTTTCCTACATCTAGAAAAAAGGTTGTAAGGAATGGGGGGGGGGGGGAATGACAGCACTGTACAAACAACCATGAGTGTGGGATCCTGAGCTCACAATAATGTTTCATGTAGAAAAGCTTCTCAAGATTTTCCTTCAGTCTCATGGTTCATGAGGTAATTAGCAGTTGTTGTAGGTTTCACTTGGAGTAAATGTCTTTTGAGAATATATTGAAAAGAGTTCCAGTTATCTGCCCTGTTAAGCAGATAGAACTGGAAGTTTCAGATCTCTTAAAAAATGCCTCTTGGGTCCAACCCCTGTACTACTTCTTAGCTCTTGTTTGCTCTCCCAAATCTTAGCCAAACTATATGAGGTGTGTCCAGAATATAATGAGAATGAAGTTCCTACGTTGAGAAGGGCTTTGTGAAGGGAGAAGCGGGCCATGGTCACTGGGGTGGGGTGGTAGGTATACGTTAGAACACTGATCAATTGCATTGCAGCCCTGCCAGAGTTGAGACTTTTCTGGACACCCTGCTCAAGTGCCTTGTGTTAAGAAAAATGCAAATGAGTTTGGAACAACAGTACCGAATAAAATTTTGTGTGAAATTGGGTAAAAGTGCATCAGAAACTTTGAAAATGGTGAGGAAAGCTTATGGAGAGGCTGCACTATCATCTGCACAAGTATACCGATGGCACAAGGGCTTCAAGGGACGAGGTGATGTTGAAGACGAGCAACGAGCAGGATGCTCGTCTTCGTCAAAAAAGGAACAGAATGTGGATGCAGCGCGGTCCGTTCACAACAGCACACCAAGTCACCGTGCTTTGGCTGTCAGAGAGCTTTTGCCTGAAAACCACACCACAGTGCTTCCCCGTCCACCCTACAGACCTGACTTGGTTTCTGTGCAGGATAAGTAAGCCCTGCTCACTTATCTTCCGCATGCAGAAAGAATATACAGCCCAGAGAGCAGCAAGAGCAGAAGCCACCGAGTCCTCTGTCCTGCAGAAGATCTGCTTGCAAGAACAGAGCACCAGCTGAATCCTTGTCTTACTTCGGAGCTCCTTCTCTTTTGGGCTGCCTCAGTTGCCACTGCAGGTAAGTGATGATGGCCTTTGCTATCACCGCTTCTAATGTACAGGGACAGTGCATGGGCCCTGCCATGAGACTGGCTTGTTCTGAACTGGGGGGAGAACATGAGAGCAAAACTGCTGCCTTTAGAAGAGATGGCTTGGACCATCCGGGGCCAGACCCACTTTCTCAGCCTAGGCCACCTCACAGGGTTCATACAAGGATAACATGGGATAATTTTCCTACTGCAATGGGAGGACATTAATATATGATGAAAAAATGGGGGAAATCTGTAGGCTCTGGTGTGCTACTTAAAATTCTCTCTCTCTTTCTCTCTCATGTATGTATACATGAACTCCTCAAAGGGGCTGAAAAACTGATAAAAGCTAAAATATAAAGTCAATGGACAGAACATTTAAAAAGACACAGGAAAAACATAAAAAATAGCTAGCCAGAAAATATGTAATTTATACGCCATTCTTCTGTTCATGAGGCACTTAGTGCTGCTCCACAGGTTAAGGAACACAGAACAAAAACTAGAGAACAAAAAGCGTAAGTGCAAATTTAAAAACACTACCATAAATAGCATCAGTCTAAGATATAATACAAAAGCCAGTGGCATGAAAACTGTAAGCCTTAAAACCTGTTGAAAGAGAAACAATTCCAGCTTGGAGGGAAATGCAGCCACTAAGGGAGGGATCCTGGAAAACCGCAACAGGGAAGACTTGCATGCATGCATGTGTGCGAGGCTGGCGGAGCACTCGGAGGTAGGCAGGAAGAAGATGGTGGTGAATGACTGCTCCTGCATCATCTTGGCTCCAAACTGTTCAGAGCTACACACACTGCACACCTGAATTTTGTTTGACTGGTAGGACTCTTTCCTTTCCAAAGATTTCTGGGCAATGACACTTGATGTAGAGCACATGAAGATTTCTCAATATTATCCCAAAACTATTATTTATCTGGGGAAAGCTACGTTTCCCTTTCAAATAGGTTGAAATTCAGGGTATTGTTGAAGTGTCGCTAGAGCTCCATGCATGGGTTCTGGGTCTGGAGCTGGTGACCAGCGATTACCCTTCTCTAGAGCATAAGATTTAACCTCACAGGTATCTCTGGGATTTATCTGCAATAGAGCTTCCCTACATAAGGTTTTTACCCCCCCCCCCTTTACCAATGCTTCCAGATTCTTTGAGGGACAGATGTCTTCCTCCACCACCCACCCTCTTTCTCTGCCTTTCTGTGTGCTTCATCACACAATCACAAGATGGTGCTTTGGTACACCAGAATTGCAGGAATACACAAGCTTCTCATATTGTAATTTCCAGATAATGCTACCTTTTCCTCAATCTATTTTTTAAAGCCACAGAAAAGGTTACAAGGCAGGAGAGAGGCCCTGTAGGACGATGGCCTACAAGCTACTGTGAGGAATCACAGGTGCATAATTGATACCTCGTGCAGAGATGCCGGCAGGCTTTGCATAAATTGTTTTGTAACTTAATCAATTGCTTCTTTATCTTTCTTACCAGCCACGATGAGACCCTGGCAGCCCTGTACTGGCTTTTTGTGGTGTGCTGTGCTCCTCCCAACACTTGCAGGTAAGTGCCTTGCAATTGCATGCTGAGCTTAGTTCCATTTAAGGTGTTGGGGCTGACCATTATCATTCCTTCTGATATGTACCTATCTGAAATTGGAGACTTTCCTCAGCTGTGGAACATGGCGGTTGGCTACTAGAGGGAGGGCCTTCTTGGTCAGTCGTAGAGTTCCTGTCATCATCAATCATCACTTCATATTATTTCTATGGTCAGAGCTCTTTTGAAAGGTCTGCTGTTGCCTACTCTAATATCACTGTAGCCCCAAAGCCTTTTTTATTTTCCCAGGCCGTTTCAGGCTTATTGTACCTTTAAACCAGAGGAATGTAATCTGTGTCCTGGGAATGCTGATGTAGATTATTCCCTCTCCACCTAAGCTCCAGTGAGGAAAGGAGGATCCAATCCATATCGGGTTCGCTGGTGCCTTTGTGGTGTGTATATGCAGGTGAATGCGCATGTCCATGTGGACAGCATCACTGGGGCAGAAAGGATTACACCCTCCGACTTTGGCTTTAGTCATGCTGGTTTTTATTTTCTGCTCTGCTTTTCGATAATGTTTGAATGCTGCATTCCATCTTATTATATTTGTATGGTATTGTTGCATACTTTGCATTCTATTTTATGAGCTGCCTGGAGAACTTTTTCTCATGGAGCAGCCTGTAAATAACATAGACAAACTTTAATGGTACCCATACGATGCGGCCTTTTCCAGCCTGCAATTTCCATCTTTCCAAGCTAATATGGCCACAGGCCGGATAACGGAAGGTACTAGGCTGGGGAAGGCTGAGCTACTGTCCCTGTTAAGCTGGGCTGATGTGAACAGAGGAGCATTCAGTTAGGGAAGGATGCAGTATATCAATACCATTAAATCTTTCCCGTACAAACAGGTTGCATTTTTCTGTACTCCTGCCAGGAGAGCAAACAGAGCAGCCTATACTCTAGTGCTATCAACCGGGTGACAGATTGATGTGAGTTATAATGACTGGATTAGTTAACTACAAACAAGCACTTCTCAGTGAGAAAGTGGTATTATTGACGCAAAAGAGTGAGCAGGCCAAGCCAGTGCAGTTGGCTCAGCTAGTTTCAGTTTCCAAATAGGGCTCCTGAGAACATTTCTAATCTACACAACTTTGTAAATATTCTGTAAGGGAGTATGGCCAGTTCAGACTGTTATCACAGCCATAACAGAGCGCAATATCACATGGGCTAAAGAAACACATTTGTCTAGCAAACTGTGCGGAGATCAGATGCAGAGAGACTGTTAATTCCCAGAGATCCATAAATTACCACAATGAGTAAGTATATCAGAAGTGGTCGTTGTACTCTGCCCAAATTCTTCACCAAGAGCCCCATTCATACATTCAAGTTGCAAGGAGCTCATGGCAATGTACTTGGGGTTACCAATTTTATCCTTGCCACAAAGTGGGTTACGCTGAAAGATACTGAGGGGCCCATGGTCACTCCTAGAAGAAATGTGTCTGAGAGGAAATGGCACCCAGATCTCCCCACCCCACTTCTGCGCTGTGCTGTACTGACTCTGCTCTTGAGGTTCTGAGCAGGGCTGGTCTGGTCACAAGCCTGTGGGATCTATATTCTTTTTTCAAAAGGATCCTGAGATTTATCAGTTGGAGCCTGTTACCAAACACAAACCTTTGGGATGATATGAGTTTGAATTATTTTGAGTGCTAGAACTGAACAGAGCTTGGGGGCCTGGCACAAAACATCCATTCCTAGCTATCCCAAGCTTTCTCCACTGCAGCAGTCTAATTTAGAGTAGGATCAGGAAACCCTTTTGTTGCCACTGTCATTGAAAATGTGAGTGTGAGAAATCCTTGCCAATCTATGGCAAATCATTCAGAGAGCCCTCAAGATCCCCCTGAAGCTCTAGATGTGGCACTCCCCACCTGTGGGTCAGAGCAGGGATCCTTAACCTCTTGGAGCCCAAAGACTGGCAGTACATAAAAACTATTCAGTAAAATACAATGAAAACACCATAAAATCTTCTCAAAAGAAGCATTAAAAATTGTAAACAGCTAAAAACAAACAATGAAGAATGACTGGCCAGGGGATGGACATGCACATACAAACAGACACATTGAGACGGGGGAGGTATATGCAAGCAGGGATTCCCAGGGAAACCTATCGGGATGCTACAATCCCAGTGAGCACTGCTGCTTTGGCACCACTAGTTGCTGCTCCTTCTACTACCCCCTGGGGCACTGTCAATTTCACACTACCACTAGTTGTGTGTAGACAACTGTCCCGGCTGCTTCGCCGTTGATGCAGAAGGGCGGCCTTTCCTCCTTTATGCTTCAGCGACTGGCCTGATCACTGCTTTGCTGCCCTAAGTGGGCTGACTGGCACCACAATTCTATCTATGCGGCCTCCTTCGCCTTTCCTGGGGGCAGGAGCTTTCTCAGCAACTGCTAGGGATGTTAGAAAACTGCAGCAAAGAGCTGGTGGGACTCTGGACCTAGGCCAAAGTCAGAGAAACTGAGGACCAGCTCCTTCTGCTTCTGCACATGCCCTGCACTGCAAAACACAGGAACATTATGCTCACCAGATCAAAGTACATGTTTCCTTCTTGAATCTTACTTTCACTTTAGAAAGTGGGTGCAAAAGCAATGGATCTTCTAGCAGAGGGCTAACAGAAATGGAAACAAACACTGGGAATTGAACTTCACAGTGCAAAAAGCTAAGAACACAAAATCAAACATATGGGAACACATGTAGTTGGCAGGTTATGAGAATTTTACTTTCCTGTGAAATGACATTGGAGATGGGCACAGCAAATTGTGTTCTCACATAATGCTAAGCAATACCATTTGGTTACCTATTTTACCTTGTGTCTTGTGTTCACACATTCATGAGGTAACTACTCATGAGCAGTTACCACAGACCTCCATCTTCCCTCCAAACATATCCCCGCAGCCCCTGCAGCTGGGAATCAATCCCAGTGTGCACTGCTCCTGCCTACCCCACCTGCCTCTTCCCCATTGGCCCACACACTTCCCTGGGTGTGTTCTCAGCCGGCTGCTCCCCCTGCCCCCGGCTGCTCAGTGGAGCCCCCTCTAATCACTGGAGTAGCACATTGCTCCATTGGAGTAACAGAGCAGCATCCCCCACGGCCAGCACACTCCGTGCCTGTGCAGAAGCACCCATCCACATGCCACAGGCACACACGCCTTGCTGCAGATGTGCCTGACATTCACCCTGCCACGCACAGGTCACACACACGCTGCTGGGGCTGCCTCCCAGTGCAGGTGAGGGTGGCAGTGGGGGCTGCATTCCCAGGAGAGCCACCCTGCCAGGCTCTCTTCTCCAAGGACGCCCATCTGGGCGACTGCCTGGGGAACATTGCCGGCAGGCTGTCGGGACGGTGGTGGCAGGGCTTGCGGAGAGTCCCCAACACAGCAAGCAAAGCAGAAGGCAGAGCAGAAGACACAGGGTCCTGGGGACACTTGCCTGGGCGAGGCCCTGAGCACTGTTCCCGTGCTTGGACTGCTTCTCCCGTGAGGCCCTGTATGCAGCCCCCACGGCTCCACCTCCTGCGCAAGGCCTCGCACACTCTCTTCGTGTCACCCAAGAGGCGGGGACTTGGGGACGGTGCTCAGGGCATCCCGTGAGAGGCAAGTCCTCATGAGTGTCACAGCATGAGGAGGGCAAGAAGGCTTCCAGCTGCTTGGCCAAGGGGCAGGCAGGGTGGCGAAATGGCAGGGCAGTGGAGTCACAGTGGGGTGGAGGGGGCAGCCGGGAATTGGAAGGCACACCAGGAGGGAAGACTAGGAGTGCACGGACAGTCAGCGCCACCTCTGGTGGCAACTCAGGCATTGCTAGGTGAGCAGGGCAGTGGAAAATGGTGGCTAGATGGTTGCAGTCTCCCCATCTGCTCTTGCTGCCGAGCTTGCTGGCCAAAACAGGGATAACATGGAAACACAGTATGATTGGCATCTCATATTATTATTATTATTATTATTATTATTATTATTATTATTATTATTATTATAACAAGAAGCAGTGTGGAAACATATAAACCTTAGAAAAGACCATTGGTTCTCCATGGTGATTAATGGAATCCAAATACACCACACATTTCACCATGCTACTATGGTATGTTGTTACGTGTGAATACAACAGTAGACATATGTAAAAGCAGAGAAAACTGTACTGGATGATTTGAAGCACTTCAAAACAAAACTGGGGTGAAATCAGTATTTTCTTATCGTATTGTAATGCAAATTGTGTACTTGCTTACAGGAACTACAGAGTTCATCCGTGTTTGGCCAGAAAAAACTGTCGTGGAATTTGGAGGCTCTGTTGTGATAAACTGCAGCTCCAACTGTGACGGAATCATCCTTGAGAGCAGCTTAGACCCGGTTCCTGCAGGAAATGGGAGCACATGGAAAGCCTTTAATATCCCCAGTGTCAGTCAGTGGGCACCCACCCTATTGTGCTATGCTCAGTGTACAAGTAACATAAACCCTCCACACGCAGTGATCACGGTCTACCGTAAGTCGCATCTCAGCCTGGCTGGGGGTAAAAGCTTGCCCTGAAGGGACGCTGGTGCTTGGGAGTGCTGCTTGTCGAGCGGGAAGGTGGAGGTTACTTGCTGGAGCCAAGGGAGGGATCCCACCTTCAGGGTCTCCCTGGGAAAGAAGGGAAAGCGGCTGCTCAGGAAGCTGCGAGGAAGAAAGAGCTTAGGCCACAGCTCCCAGCAGGGGCACGACTGGTCTGACTGGGAACTGCCCTTCAGGGTGCCATGCAGGGCTCTCTCCCAGCAAGGGACCTGGGATCCTGGCTTCAGAGCTCTTCCGCCAGAGAAGCTGGCCTAGCTGGCGCTGACCCTTCTCCTTTGTGATTTGCCTGGACCTTGGAATTCCCTGGTATCCTAACTTTATCCTGCCTGTTGCTGAACCAGCTTTATATCTATGGTCAAGATGATATGTTCTTTGCACTAAAAAAAAAATCTGTATCAAGGTAACTTACGAGTAGATTTTTTCCTGGAAAAGATCAAGTTCTGTGACCTACTATATTATGTAGACTGGGCACATTTTCTATGAGCTGCATAATTTAGTTGGCCATTTTCACTCCTTTGCATGTCACCACCTAATTTTCTTCACTGAAGCTTCACTCCCCGTGGCTGGCCCAGGCTTACTTGAGGATGGCTTAAGCCTCAAATAAGCCAGGCTGTCCAGGCACACACGGAGCAGCCGTGATGTGCGGGTTCAAATGGACAGCCTGTGTTCGCCACTGTGATGCGCAGAGAGGCTCCGAAGTGTAACTCTTCTGCTCACCCGCTGCCTCTTAATTGCACTGATCCAGACCTTCATTCTCTTCCAGGAGCTCCAGAGCATGTAGCGATGGACCCGGTGCCAGAGATGGAGGTGGGCAAGGCATACACCTGGTCCTGCCGAGTTTCCAACGTCGCCCCCATCCGGAATCTCACCATTACCCTGCTCAAAGCAGGGGAAAAAGTTCTGGCGAAGACATTTGAGTCTCATGCTGAAGCTAAAGCTGGTGATGCTGTATTAAGGCATAACGTAACAGCCGAACAGGCTGACCGTGGGAAGGAACTCACCTGCCACGCAGCTCTGGATCTGAGACCTGATGGGCCACTCTTGGAAAAAACATCCAGCAGTGAAGCACTAGCAGCAGTCGGTGAGTGCCCGCCGCCCGTTCCGTTCCCACGTAGCTGGTGGAGACGGGTGGTGCAATGCGACTCGGATTGCACGGCCACTTGGAAGCCCATGCCAAACTGTCCAGGAACTCTCCGTGGTGCTGACCCAATCTGGGGGAAGGGTTCGGGTTCAGCATCAGGGATAGCTTCTTGAAAATTCAGCTGAAATCTGGGGTGGCTACCCAGACCCACCGACACCAGGCTTCAACGCATACACAAAACTTGCCGCAAGACAAAAGGAAAGGGGGATTCAGTTTCTGCCTACAGCCATGAATCTACTCACACATGCTGATGGCACACACTCTCTACTACCTTAGTGGTGATGCTTTCCCCCACATTGGCCATTCTTAGGATACCTTCCGGAAAAGTCTCCTTTGGCTTCAGAGTCCCACTGATGATGGGGATCCTTCATTTTATTCTTGAAGCTGGCAATGTGTGAAGAATGTACCGCTGAAGATCAGCCAGAGCAACCAGGGAAGGCAGCCAGTGGTCAGCAGCGTTTCTTAGCTGACGGGCACGGCTATGCCTAACCGGGCTGGTCTTTGAAGGTGCTTTTACCTCATTGGGTTTGTCCTTGAAACTACTTTTGGACTTTTGCAGACCTCAGGGATGCCCCACCCAGGTTGATACACTGCTCTTGCTTCTCAGCGGCACAGTTTGACTCCATTTCTGTTGGCTCACCAGCACCAACTGCTGTCTGAGGAAGTTCTTATCTTGACTGCGCTTCTTGTTTAGATAACTGGCATGGTTCTGTTATTGTCTTGACAGTTTTTTCCTCGGATCCCCACCTGGAAGCCCCGCTTTCCATGGAGACCAATACCACGATGGCTGTCCACTGCCATGTGTCTGGAGTTTTCCCAGCTGAGGAGGCCCAGTTTGATTTGCAGTTTGCAGGGAAGAGCTGGAACCTCAGCACAAGTGTGTCGGGGTCCAGCGTGAGCGCGCAGGCCCTGGTGTCTTCCTCGTCCACAGGAGAACACACGCTGCTCTGCACAGTCTCTCTGGGGCGAGTGAGCCGAAGGGTTGAGAAGACAGTGAATGTGTACAGTGAGTAATCACAACTCTGGAATTAGCCCATCTCAGTTCCTGGGTCTTTGGACATGTAATCAATGTCCACGAATGAATCAATTTCCAGGTTTATTGTGCTATAATGCAGGTCCAAATTGTGAGTTGTAAGCTTATCCCAGGGTTAGGCACTAATAAGTGTTGGTAGTGCACACTTACTGCTCCAATTCCCATATAGCTGGTGGTGACTGGTGGTACAATGTGACTCAGATTGTGTAGCCAGTTTAGAGCTCATGCCCAACTGTGGCATTGGCACCACCAGCCTTCAATGCATATGTGAAACTTGCACCAAAACAAAAGGATTCAGGATTCCCCTCACAAAAGTTCATGTTGAATGTAAGTTAATGTCCTTTTCCCGAAAAATAAAAACTGTAAAATAAATAAAAATACCTACAAGTATTTGCAAGGTGACCTGGGTTCAGGTGACCTACTCTGACACTAGCTCACAAAATGCACCCTTTCGAGCCAAGGGGTTCATGAGGGAACACACAAAATGGTGGTGGAGTGCTGCTATCCGGGCTCCTAGCAGGCCCTGAAAGATTAATGCCAGCTGTCCGAACAGGCCCACTAAGCCTGCATGTGTGTTTGTTGTCTTGTTTTGTATTAGTCTACCTTCCAGTACATTTTTATATTAATCCATTTGTGGCACATGATTGCCATGGGAGAAGGCAAGTGTAGTGAGTGGGCCAAACCCTCACTCTTTGCTGACTTTTCAGGGAGATATGTCATTGGATTCTGAACAGAAAGAGGAGGCAAGGAGGGGCAGAAGCCTTGGAGCTCCTTCAGGCTTGTGTCCTGTGGTTTCTCAGGCTAAGTGCAAGAGCAGACAGGAGGGGTTTCAAGAGAGGCGGGCAAGCAGGTGCAGGACCCAACCCTTATCCTCTGATGAAGCATCAGGGGAGGTGAGCTACTCAAGTGGAAAGCTTCCATAGATCTCTCCAGCTGGCTGTCCACCAATGAGAACCACCCTGAGTGTAGAGTCACAGAATTATTGAAAGGGAGCAATTGGGAACAAGTTTCCAGTTTGGGTTCAGTTCTTTACATGAGCAGAGGCTTATATTTTCAGCTTGATGGAAGGTTGTTTAGAGTTACGCTGTCTTTTAGCTGTGTATTTTCAATAAATATCTGCATTAGAGAGGATTGCCCTGTGTCTTGGAGCCTGAGGGAAAGGAGGGAAGGGAGTAGCTCAGGACAGCAAGCTAAATTATCTTTCATATTACAAACGCTTCCCATGCTACTTGCCATACCAGCTCAACCTGACAATAATGCCCAGCAGATCTCCAGGGCTATGTGTCATGCCTGATCATGCTGCAAGCAACTTGGACCCAAAATCTGGGGATGGCTTGATGGGGAGAATGTTGCAAGTCCTAATAGGCCCAGTTGGATCGGTGAAGGCACTATTAGGGGGTATTCAGCCCATCCAGGTCTTGATCAAGTTGGCAGGGGAGAAGAGCAAAGCTCCAGCTTCCCCTGAAATGGAAGTCCAGCAGTTGTTCCAATTCCTTTTGTCTTTTTCTTGCCTTATGTGCCATTTCAGACCTTCTGGAGCAGGTGATAGCAGAACTCCAAAAGTCTTCACCAGACCAAAGCTGGGTCTATGCCCTGAAGTGCCATGTTATAGGGATGATCTCTAGCAGAAATCTCACTGTGACCTTGCTCAAAGGGGCGGAGAGGCTCCACCTCTGCTGTGATCAAATCCCTCAGTTTCTCGATCAAATCGCTCATCCCTGAACCACATCAGTTTGCCTTCTGTGTAATGGCTGCTGGAGCAGAAAGCTCTAGGTAGGAATGGTACTTTGGAGGAATGATATTTTGTTACTCAAATCCCGCTTCTACTACACACATTGGTTCTTGGGCAAGTGTATTTGTGAAGAGCTCTGCTTCCTAGGGAGACCATTTTGGGAGTGTGTCCATGACAGATGTGCCTCCCAGTACAAAAAACTGGGAACTCCTGGCACTTCATACACAAAGAAAATTGGTGTTGTGTATAGCAGTGACCCTGAATTCCATCTGTTTTAACACCTCTTCTGATTGAGAAGTATAAAGCCCAATTTGGTGAAAGCCTCCCAGATTTGCCATGCATGTTCCAGAGAACCTTGACCTATTTGAGTGATATGATAAATGCTCTTTTTGGTTTTCTCTGTCTAGGATCTTGATATTTGTCATTTGCCTTTATGTGATCCAGGGAGATTTCCCCTTTTTTCTTTTTTCTCACTTTTCAGAAACATATGCAGGTCTAATTGTGGCTGCTGCTTCCATAGCTGTGCTAGCTGCTGAACTTGGGGTCTTCTTCATCTGCTCTCTGGTCTCCAGGTAGAGATCCTCTGGAAGAACAAGACTAAGCAGAAAAAAATAAATATAGAAACATAGAAACATAGAAAACAGAGCGAGTCAAAAGGGGTCTCCTTGGCCATCTAGTCTGACCTCTGGCACCAGCCGGCTCCGCTCACGACATGCCCACCATGTGGACGTCCAGCTATATGAAGCTATCTGAGCTCAAAAAAGCTTGATATGATACCAGAGCTCCTACTGTATGAATATCTAACTTGCAAGCAACACTGTAGAACACACGAAACATTGGGAGTCACTTAGTTCATGGAAAATGCCACCATTATAAAGAAAAGTTCGTGAAAATTGGAATCACACTCAGGCCTAATGCAGAGAAGATGGGACCAGGCAAGCTGTGAGTTCCTCCTGGCCCCAGCTTTGCAGCATTATCCTTCCCCACTATTCCCCACTGCTTCTAGACCGATCTTATTTCATTTCATTTTTGAGGACCTCCCTGGGAGACGGTGGGAATGCTGCGGACACACTGTAATATATCTCAACAAAGTGCCTGAGTAGCAAACTAGCTAAAAGTGGGCTAGATCAGGTGGAGCCACAGTTGGCTACAAAATCGGACTCCAAGAGTGCTCACCAAAGGCACCTTTTTAGACTGCAGGGAGGCAACAAGTGGGGCACTGCAGGGTTCAGCCCTGGCCCAGTGCTCTTCAACATTTGTATTTGTGATTTGGATGAGGAAGTTCAGGGGATGATTTGCAGATGACACCAGACTGGGTGGGATGGCTAATGCCCTGGAAGACAGAAAGGAGATTCAAGGTGACTGTGATAGGTTGGAGTGTGGGGCTGAAAACAACCAAGTTAAATTTAATAAGGGATAATGTCAAGTTCTGCATCTAGTAAAATGCAACCAAATGCAGTTACAAGATGGGGGATATTTGGCTAAACAATACTGCAAGTGAGAAGGATCTCACAAAGATTCACTTTGTGATCTACAATATGTGGCTTCAAAAAGGGCAAATGCTAATTTGGGCTGCATTAATAGAAATCATGTGCAGTACTAGTTCCCCTTTATTCAGCATTGGTTAGGCCTCATCAGGAGTATTGCACCCAGTTCTGGGCACCACAGTTTAAGAACAATGCAGAGAAGCTGGAAAGGGTTCAGAGGAGGGCAACAAGGATGATCCAGGGACTGGAAACAAAGTCCTATAAGGAGAGATTGAAAGAACTGGTCATGTTTACTTGCCAGAAGAGAACACTGATGGGAGATATGATCGCACTCTACAAGTACTTGAAAGGCTGTCACAAAGAAGAAGGCCAGAATCTCTTCTGAATCATCTCAGGGTGCAGGACACAGAATAACAATTTCAAGTTACAGGAAGCCAGACTCCAGCCGGACAGCAGGAAGAACTGCTGAGTTTTAGAGCAGTATGTCAGTGGAGCCTAGGGAGGCTGTAGGGCTTTCCCACACTGGAGGCATTCAGGATGCAGCTGGACAGCCATCTGAGAGAGATGGTTTGACTTGTTGTCCTGCACTGAGCAGGGGGTTGGACCCGATGGCCTTCTTGGCTCTTTCCAACTCTACCCTTCTATGATTCAGTGACACTCTCTTCCTTCTGCCTGAAGTGACTCAAGTCATCAGAGTCCCGGTGCGATGGTGGCAGGGGTTGGGAGGTGTCACAAACCTTCTTTGTCTTTTTAGTGAAGCTTGCCACCCATTCGTGCTTAAGGGTTGTTTGTTTGTTTTCAGCAGGAAAGATATGGTAGGAAGCTATAGTCCACATTTTCTGAAAAAATTAAGGATCCCAGTGGACAACAATCTATTTTATATGAATGATAAATCACCGATAACAGCTTTCTTCTGGAATGGTCTTGCCTCTGCAATACACTGATGATCATCCAAGGTTCAATTTAGATGCCAGGAAGTACTTCCTGACAGTTAGGACCCTGAGGGTATGGAATGGGCTTCCACGGGAGGTGGTTGAGGCCTTATTGGTGAGGGTGTTCAAGGATAGGCTGGACATGCACATGGTGGGCATGTTGTGAGCAGAGCCGGCTGGAGCCGGAGTCAGACTAGATGGCCCAGGAGATCCCTTCTGACTCGCTCTGTTTCTATGTGCTTTGGAAAGTGATTAAAACCTTATTCAGCCTGGCTTTCCCCAACCATTCGCGCAATGAAATGTTGTGCTTTTCTAATGATGTATTCTAATCATTTGTATTGCCCTACTGCGTCAATAAATGGTTTGTACTACCCATAATTAGCCATGTTAAATGAAGGCAACCTATATTTAGCCAAGAGGTCAGGCCAGGATATGTCTGTCACCATGAGAATGTTCTGCACATGACTTTTCTAGAGATAAGGGTACAATAAGTGGTTTACGGGCTTCTTACACATCTAGGGCATGTGCCACACCACACCACGCCAGGACAATTGTGATGTGACTGTAGGCCCTGCTTCCAGGTCTGCCTTTGTTTCCAAGATGCTCTTCCTGGTGCAAAGTGGTCAAATCTTATGGCAGCAGCAAAGAAAGCACTCCCAAGAATGGTGCTGATCATACAAATACGGAGGGGGCAACTTGTAGGTCAGAGCATATGGAAAGCCATGACTCCCCTCAGCCCTTGCCAGCACAGTGGATGCCGAAACAAAGTGGGAGTGGAAGACCAAAGCACCTGGAAGGCCACATGTTGCCTAACACTGTTATATATTATGTGGAGACTGCGGGAGGGCTGGGAAGGACAACAGGGCAATTCTACACGTACCTCGGAAGTGCTGTTGCCACCGTGTTTACCAGCATGTTGCACACCATGGCCTTGAGGCAAATCTGCAAAGGGCAGTGGGGGATGGCTGGGTAGGTCTGCATTTGGAAGATGATACAGGGCATCTGGCTCTTCTCCTGCCCAGAATAACAAAGAATAATAACAATAGAAAAGAGTGGTGATGTGACCGCTTTAGTAATAAATGCAGTAAACCACTCAATGTCATAGACCTAATTCTGAATCCTAAACAAGGCAAGCTCCTTCATGGATCACTGCCTTGTCGTGGCAAAGGGGCTTGCGTAGCTCAATGAAGCTATGAGCTATGCCATGCAGGGCCACCCAAGACGGGCAGGTCATAGCAGAGAGCTCTGACAAAACGTGATCCACTGGAAAAGGAAATGGCAACCCACTCCAGTACCCTTGCCATGAAAACCCCATGGACAGTACCAAAAGGCAAAAAGATAAGATGCCGGAAGATGAGACCCTCAGGTCGGAAGGTGTCCACTATGCTACTCGGGAAGAGCAGAGGGCTAGTACTAGTAGCGCCAGAAAGAATGAAGCGACTGGGTCAAAGCCGAAAGGACATTCAGTCGCTGATGTATCTGGTGGTGAAAGGAGAGTCCGATGCTGCAAAGATCTATACTCCATAGGAACCTGGAATGTAAGATCCATGAAGCAAGGCAAGCTGGATGTGGTCAAACAAGAGATGACAAGACTGAACATCAATATCTTAGGAATCAGTGAACTAAAATGGACAGGAATGGGTGAATTTAATTCAGATGACCATCAGGTATACTACTGCGGGCAAGAATCCCTCAGAAGAAATGGAGTAGCCTTCATAGTCAATAAAAGAGTAGGAAAAGCAGTACTGGGATACAATCTCCAAAATGACAGAATGATCTCAGTTTGAATCCAAGGCGAACCATTCAACATCACAATAGTCCAAGTCTATGCCCCAACCACTGGTGCTGAAGAGGCTGAAGTTGACCAGTTCTATGAAGGCCTACAACACCTTCTAGAATTAACTCCAAAAATGATGTCCTTATTCCATGGGGGATTGGAATGCTAAAGTAGGAAGCCAAAAGATAACTGGAATAACAGGCAAGTTTGGCCTTGGAGTACAAAATGAAGAAGGGCACAGGCTGGTAGAATTTTGTCATGAGAATGCGATGGTCATAGCAAACACTCTTTTCCAGCAACCCAAGAGACGACTCTACTCATGGACATCACCAGATGGTCAACACAGAAATCAGATTGACTATGTGCTCTGCAGCCAAAGATGGAGAAGCTCTATACAGTCAGTAAAAACTAGACCAGGAGCTGACTGTGGCTCAGATCATGAGCTTCTCGTTGCAAAATTTAGACTTAAGTTGAAGAAAGTAGGGAAAAGCATTAGGCCACTCAGGTATGACCTAAATCATATCCCTGATGAATATACAGTAGAGGTGACAAATAGATTTAAGGAATTAGATCTGATAGACAGAGTGCTATGGATGGAGGTTCGCAACATTGTACAAGAGGCAGCAACTAAAACCATCCCAAAGAAAAAGAAATGCAAGAAAGCAAAATGGCTGTCTGAGGAAGCTTTACAAATAGCCGAGGAAAGAAGGGAAGCGAAAGGCAAGGGAAAAAGAGAAAGATGCACCCAATTGAATGCAGAATTCCAGAGAACAGCTAGAAGAGATAAGAATGCCTTCTTAAATGAACAGTGCAAAGAAATAGAAGAAAACAACAGAATAGGGAGGACCAGAGATCTTTTCAAGAAAATTGGAGATATGAAGGAAACATTTCATGCAAAGATGGGCATGATAAAGGACCAAAATGGCAGGGACCTAACAGAGGCAGAAGAGATTAAGAAGAGATGGCAAGATTACACAGAAGAACTATACAAGAAAGAGCTAAACATCCCTGATAACCATGATGGGGTGGTCACTGACCTCGAGCCAGACATCCTGGAACGTGAAGTCAAATGGGCCTTAGGAAGGCTGAGCAACAACAAAGCTAGTGGAGGCGACAGCATTCCAGCTGAGCTATTCAAAACCCTAAAATATGATGCAATAAAAGTGCTACACACATATGCCAGCAAATTTGGAAAACTCAACAGTGGCCACAGGATTGGAAAAGGTCAGTTTACATTCCGATCCCAAAGAAGGATCACGACTTCGCGACTAACAACAACAACAACAAACAAGGCAAGACTTAACACAAAGATTCTATTTGGAGAGGAAAATAAACAGCTGTAGCATCTCATGGTGCAGGTGAGATCTAGCATACAATGAAATTACCCCAGTATTTCCAGGCTTTTTAAGATGTTTTTT